AAACTCAAGATCCGTCCTGGCCGCTGCTGCTTCGTGATACGTAGCAGATTTAGCAGATCGTAGCAGTGCACTTGAAAGTTGAAAGCCTTGCGTTTTGCAGTTTTGTTTTCCCGAAAGCATCGCGAAGGGTTCTTCCGTGCGGAGCCCTCTGACCCAACCACATAGAGTGAAGTGCAGAGAGTGAAGTGCATAGAGCGAAGTGCATAGAGCGAAGGGCATAGAGTGAAGCGCATAGAGTGAAGTGCATGGAGTGAAGAGCATAGAGTGAAGCGCATAGAGTGAAGTGCATAGAGTGAATTGCATAGAGTGAAGTGCATAGAGTGAAATGCATAGAGTCAAGCGCATAGAGTGAAGTGCATAGAGTCAAGCGCATAGAGTCAAGTGCATAGAGTCAAGTGCATAGAGTGAAGTGCATAGAGTGAAGTACATAGAGTGAAGTGCATAGAGTGAATTGCATAGAGTGAATTGCATAGAGTGAAGTGCATAGAGTGAAGTGCATAGAGTGAATTGCATAGAGTGAAGTAGAAGTTAATAGAAATTACGAGATTTACGTAGAATATCGTAGACCTTCGTACCCAGTCCTAGATTTCTAAATTAAAACTAAATTAAAATTACTCTTTCTAAGGCGGCGGGCTGGGTTGACATCGCCAATCGGGATTGCAACCCTCTGCGGGTTTCGGCGTGGTCGCGGTGCTAAAACCATCGTTTTTTTACGTTTCTTGATTTGCGCGGACAACCCTCTGCGGGTTTCGGCGTGGTCGCGGTGCTAAAACCGTCGTTTTTTTACGTTTCTTTGTGTCCGCGGACAACCCTCTGCGGGTTTCACCGTGGTCGCGGTGCTAAAACCGTCGTTTTTTTTACGTTTCTTTGTGTCCGCGGACAGCCCTCTGCGGGTGATCGCCGGGTCGCGGTGCTAAAACCGTCGTTTTTGGTACTTTTTTTCGTGGCCGCAGACAACCCTCTGCGGGTTTCGGCGTTGGCACGGTGCCAAAACCGTGGTGTTTTTGCGTTTTTTGACATACAAACGTAACCCCTCTGCGGCTTTCGGCGTTGGCGCGGTGCCGAAACCCTCGTGTTTTTGCGTTTCTTGACATGCAAATGTAACCCCTCTGCGGGTTTTCGCGTGGTCGCGGTGCTAAAACCGTAGTGTTTTTGCGTTTTTTGCGTTTGTTTTTCGACTTGTGTAGTACAGACGTAGTACGCCGGGGACTTCCGTGGCTGGAAAATCGAGTTTTGTAGTACAAACGTAGTACGCAGGGGACGCCCGGAGCTTCCGTGGCTGGAAAGTCGACTTTTGTAGTACAAACGTAGTACGCCACGCGGAGCTTCCGTAGCTGGAAAGTCGACTTTTGTAGTACAGACGTATAGTACGCCGGGGACGCCCGGAGCTTCCGTGGCTGGAAAGTCGACTTTTGTAGTACAAACGTAGTACGCCGCGCACACGCGGAGCTTCCGTAGCTGGAAAGTCGACTTTTGTAGCACAGACGTATAGTACGCCGGGGACGCCCGGAGCTTCCGTGGCTGGAAAGTCGACTTTTTGTAGTACTCACGTAGTACGCCGCGCACACGCGGAGCTTCCGTGGCTGGAAAGTCGACTTTTTGTAGCACAGACGTATAGTACGCCGCGGACGCCCTGGGCGTCTGAAAACACCGCAAATAGCATGGTAACGGACATCTGGCCGCCTGAAAACACCGCAAATAGCATGGTAACGGACATCTGGGCGCTTGAAAACACCGCAAATAGCATGGTAACGGACATCTAGGCGCTTGAAAACGCCGCAAATAGCATGGCAACGGACATCTGGGCGCATGAAAACGCCGCAAATAGCATGGTAACGGACATCTGGGCGCTTGAAAACTCTGCAAATAGCATGGTAACGGACATCTGGGCGCTTGAAAACACCGCAAATAGCATGGTAACGGACATCTGGGCGCTTGAAAACACTGCAAATAGCATGGTAACGGACATCTGGGCGCTTGAAAACACCGCAAATAGCATGGAAGCGGAATTCCGGACGTACTTGAAAACCTCGCAAATAGCATTCCCGCCGCGGACACCCGGAGCTTGCATGTCGAAACCATCGCAAATAAACCATCGCAAATATCGCGGGGCTCGAATTCCTCGAAACCCTTGCAAATGTCGTGGGACTCGAATTCCGGGGCCCCGAAAACCTCGCAAATATCGTGGTTCCAAAACCATCGCAAATACCCTGGTCCCCGAATTCGCTGGTTCCAAAACCATCGCAAATACCATGGTCCCCGAATTCGCTGTTTCCAAAAGCATCGCAAATACCATGGTCCCCGAAATCGCTGTTTCCAAAACCATCGCAAAAACCATGGTCCCCGAATTCGCTGGTTCCAAAAACCATCGCAAAAACCATGGTCCCCGAATTCGCTGGTTCAAAAAGCATCGCAAGTATACCATGGTCCCCGAATTCGCTGGTTCCAAAACCATCGCAAATCAGACAAGTGCAGTGTACAAGTGACTATGCAACCATGTAAGTGCATACATTTGTCCAAGTGCATACACTTCGGCTGCAAAGAGTCAACTGCATGGAGTCAACGCACGGCAAATCGATGCTTTCGGGCCATCCCTCTCTAGTTTTATTTTTATGGGCGGGTGGGGTGGGGGGGGGGGGCGATGTCCAGGTCGGCAGTTCCACGGGTTGAGAATCTACTAGACGCAGCCAGACGCGCACCCTGAACCTGGAACAGTACAAGCCTGTAGAGCCTAGAAGTCCTTTCTCAGAGACGGCATCTTGGAGCATCGCTTCGCTGTAAGGTTCAACGCAGGGTGGGGTTGCATGGCTTTTCGGTTCAGGTGGGTTTTTGTCCTCAGGCCTTCAGATCTCCGAGATTGTGAGAGCAGCATTGTGAACGAAAGATCCAGCCAAAGATGCCCAAGGAAGACTCAACCCTGAAGCATTGAATGGCTTTCGAAATGCTTTCGCTACAGCCCGGTTTGCCGTGTGACCCGTTCCCCCCTTGATGGGGCGAAGGGGACGCCGGCCAAAAGAGATGCCAGGACCTCGACATGGGGTGGTGTGACAATGTCCCGGCGGACGCATGGCGGCAGCTCGAGCACGCCCAGTGGCCGAAGCTGAAAAGAGCGTGTTTCCAAGGGCGCCTCGGAGGGCACTGGAGGGTTTACAAGGATTCAGGGGCAGGGGAGGGGCAGGGGAGAGAAGGGCCGGGCCTCTGGACGCTTGACCCCCCACCCCCTTTTCGCACAACATCGCCGTCCGAGGTGTTTTCTCGAAGAATGCGCGGGCGCTGCGGGTGCCGCCGGTCTGCTGTCGGCGCTGGGCCGCTGCCGTGAGCTGCAGGACCTGAGCGAAACCCAAGAGCCGTCCTGGCCATTGCTCCTTCGTAATACGTACAAAGTTGTGCACATGACTCTTGGCATGGGTGACGTGTGAAGAGAGGTTGCAAGTTCATGCCAAGATGCGTCTTGGCCAGTCCTGCTTCGCGCTGCAAAGCTTTTGTTTGATCGCTTCCCAGCAGCCGATACCAGGATCTCGATTTCGACGATTGCCGTGGAGTCCCTGCCGACACCTGGGAGCAGCTGCCTGAGGGCGCCTGGCCCACTCTTCAAAAGCACGCTGGCGTCCCGCAAGAGCGCCTGGAGAGGCTGTGCAGACGCTTGCGCGACTTTACAGGCACAGGGTATCAGTCATCTGGAGCCCACAGCAACCGAACTGCAACCTCATTGTTGCAAGTGCTTTTGGGTTTGGGATTTTGGCAGCCCTCAGCCAGCAAACAACCACGCAAGAGCCGGAGCACTGGAGCATACTGTGCAAGACCCAGCTGTTGGCTTAAGACAATCAGCTTCGCGCCCAAAACATGTGATCCTTTGCAGACGATCACGCACTACCTCTGTAGTCAGCCCCACCCCCGCTCAACTCACTGCAGACGGGCTCGGGACAGAATCAAACAAATAAGCCACTTCGAGACCACCTCATGAAAAGTGCGAATGGTCTTGCAATTGCTTTCCTCTCAACCGCCTACATACTACCAAAGTGTTGCGTGAGAACAGGATCTACAGAAGATGCAAGATGCGGAGGAGAGTGACCGAGAGAGCAAGGAAGGAAAGAAGGAAGAAGGGAAGGAAGATCCATGGAACCACGGCACTGTCCACCCAGGAGTTTGGTAGGCTTATCTGGAAGGGTTGGCTGGCAAACCGGCGCGTCTTTGCACAGAGTCTGAGGGAGGCTTTCGAGTGTTAAGGGGGAGTTTTGCCCTTCTCTTCCCTTCGTTCTGCCTTTGTTTTGGAGTCTCGGAACCTTGCGAGCCGAGCAGCCGAAGAAAGTGTTTTGTGTGTTCGCTTTGACTTGTCTATTTCTTTCCTTTGCGGGCCGTGATGGAAGCGATTCGTGTCAAACTGAAGCCGCGGCATTTAGCCCCTGCTGTCGGGCTGTGCTATGACACTTCTGTTCCTACTCATCATCTGTTTCTGTGAGATCCGAGCAAGCCAGCGCTCCGATCGGGACAGGCGGGCCTTTTCCAGCAGATGAACTGAGCGCCAGCGAGCAAAGCGTCGGCATGCAGGAGCTGCAGTTGACTCGATCCAGGGGGCTACAGTACTGGAACAACTAAGACACGTAATCGTCTTATGCTGTCATCTGCCCTAAAACGCCCTCCGTACTCCAGTCATTGCAACCCTTGCTCGAACTAAAGGCCCAGGCGTCCGACGACAGAGCCTGGCTTTGCTGTCGTACAGCTGGAGCCCTCCCCAGCATTCTACTTAACATCCTGCAAATAGGGTGAAGCGACATTTCAGGTTCAGTTGAAGGTCACTACAATGTGAATGAACCCTACTGTCAGACCCGTGACGAACAAAAAGGCAGCAAGCAGTTTCTCTCTTATCTGTTGTGCCGGTGGTGTATTTGCAGCTATGATGTCTCACCGGCATCCGGTCTATTCAGGGCTACCGCCCTAAGCCCGAAAGCCTAAACCCTAGCAAAACTGTTCGGGGCGCATCCCCCTCGTGCCAGGAGACGATGGACTCTCGCAACCAGGTGATCGAGCCTGAAGAGCCTCCGCTCGGGATCCTTGCAGCCATGAGGAACTTCGTGATGCTTCTGTCGGGCCTTGCAATGTTGTCTGCAGTATCTTTGGTCCTGGGAGTGATCCTGGGCCCTGTCTTCCTGGCAGCAGTCATGGTCTTGGACCATCAGAAGTTGGGATTGGAAGGGCGAAGGAGGCGCGCCATCTTCTGCGTCTTGTGTCTGTGGTGCTTCTCCACCGTGTCCTTCCCTTGGGTCGTGACTTGGGGTGGAGACCTCCTTGACCTCCTTGGCTTGCCATTGCGGGGGGCGTTGTTGGCCTTCTTCCTTTCGCAGCTGCCCCTCACAGCAGCTCTGCTGGCATGCATCGGCCGAGGAGAATTCTTTGCAACCCCTGAGATTGAGGGCCTGCGCTGGCACATCTTCTCGAGATTCTCGCTTCGACTTGCCGGGCTTGTGCTAGACTGGCATTCTTACTCCAGTCTGGTGTTGAATCTTCCCGGCGTGCGCTTTGTTCCATCATCCATTCACGAGGGTTTCAACAGGCTGCTGTTGGCACCGTGGCTGGTGTTCAGGGACTTGCGTGACAGCCGAAGCATGAATGTGGCTGGCCTGCTGGCGATCATGACAGCTCTGTTGCTTGGAGTGATGTCGTCAATGTTCAGCCGGCACATCTGCCAGGCTGCACCCAGAATCCCTGGCACTTCATTCCTTGTTCCTCTTGTCAGCAACCTCCCGAGGCCTGAAGATGCACTTGGCGTGATGGAAGATCTGTGCAGCATGCTGTTCCTACCCTGCCTGGCTTGCTGCATTAACATCTTCCTCTGCACTGACAAAGACTGTGCGAACGGCTTGCCCACCCATGCCGGCATGTACTTGGCCAGTGCCCTGCTTGCCTCCTACTTGCCCTTTGTTTACGCCGGGGGCGTGTGGATCCGGTTAACAGGCCGATTGCACAAGCAACGCGCGAGCATCTGCAACGCAACAGGCGCCAGGCTGATCAAGGCAGCAGGACACCTGCTTCTCGAGAGGCCCCTGAAGGTGGTTGCGGTAGGAGTGATGCTTCTTTGGCCCGAAGACCTTGGCATGGAGGAGGTTAGGCTTGGCGTTCTACTCGCCACGTCCATCGGCCTGGCATTGATCAGCAAGTACATTGGCGCCAGCAATCACCGCGGTTTCAACCGCATGCATGAGTACGTGTGCTGGTCGATGTGCCTCAACACCGCCACCGGGCTTGCTGTCACCTCCCTGAACGGCGCTGGCCTTCTGACGGAGTCTTGGTGGCCAGCTGCGGTTTGGATCATCCTGCAGGTGCTTCTTTGGCAGTGCTTCTTTGGTTCCTTTGCCGACCAGGGGGCGGTGGCCGGTGTGTTTGTCCACAAGGGAAACCAAGAGAAGGTCCGGCGATTCGTGCGATGTGGTGTGTTTGTCACATCTCTTTTGCTTCTGTTTCTCGCCACCTTCACACACATTCTCGCACTCAACCTCCGCCTCTACCACTACGAAGCATTCAGTTACAACTCGAGCCTGACCGTACTCATGCAAGACTGTTCGCTCGTTGCGCAGCCGTGCAAGGAAGCCCGGCATCTGGGTAGGGAGTGCGAGTCGGGGCAGTCCGGAGGGGTCATCCGCTTGTGGACTGGCCTCTGGAACCCCTTCCCCTCAGTGCTAGACGACTTCTATGAGAGTGATCTCGCCTCTTCGCTGGGGAGTGCAAGCCGCCCAGTGAGGTCCATGCCGGGGCTCTCGTACAGAGCGTGTGAGATCCTTGTGTGGTCGAACCCACAGGACACCCTTGCAGTGACAAGCATGGGCTCCAGCGTCATCCGAGTGGACGCGTCTCTTGCCACCCTTACCATCTCTCACCGGAGTCCTGTGACAAGTTTCCGCTCGAGCAGGGATGCTTCCGAGGCCGCCCTCGCCATCTCTCACCTGGATCCTGCCGAATGTCCTCCCCTGCACGCAGCCGTCACGTTGAGCGAAACGCAGCGATTGGATTTCTCATCGGAGTGCCAAAGCAACTTGTGGGCTGTGCTTCAGAAAGATTCCAGCCCGCTCCATGTGAGGATCGACATTCGCCATGCCGATCGCAGCAACGTGGACCTCAGGTTTACGGGTGCACAGGGGGGAGATGTTGTGCGTTGCCTGGGAGAGGCCAACTCCACCTGTGTCGACACATCCCAATCGAACACGTCAGAAGTGGACGCCACGTGCAACCAGAGCAGTCGCCAGACACACCCAGACTTTGTCCTGAGAGCATCGCTGCAGAATGCCCACTTCGTTGCCAGAGACAAGGAGCCTGAAGATGATCTGAAGGTCCCAGGTGTGCTGCAGAACAGCACACTGGAAGAAGTGCGCCAAACAGACAATAAGACGCTCATAGTGTTCAAGCGTGGGCCGCGGGACCAAACAATGTTTCTGCAACCAGCAGCTGCTCCCACATTCGTGCACTTGCCGTGGGCAAATTTGAAAGGGCTCAGACCCTGGTGGATTGCGGCCATGTCGGGCGGTCTGTTTCCCCGTCCGCCCCGCTTCGTCGAGTTGCAGTATGCCGGCTGTGACAACCTGCAGCGGCCGGCTGAGCATCTGGCCAGCTGGCTTCCAGACGTGGCCTGGATCCCGTCTGCTGCCAGTGGAGAGTCTTACGACACAACATGGGAGTTCTTTACAGCATCTGGAAATTACAAGCCGACTCCTTTGGGCGACAATGCCTGGGCCATTTTCGCTGTCGCTTTGTGCTGTCTTCTCGCCTTTGTGGTTGGTCTTCTTGGTGCGTTCGGCGCGCTCGTTGGCATGCAGTACATAGGTAGGAGCATGGCCCCAGCTGCATTTCACCAGCGAATCCGCTCCGTGCGCCAAGTCCTCCAGTTGCTCCAAGATCTTCCATGCTTTTGGAGCTTTCTCACATCAGTGGTAGCCTCGGGCGTGGCCGGTTCGGAGAGCATCATGACCGAGCTGCTTTCCATGCCGCAGGTGGTACTGCGCTCCCGCCAAGAAGCAGCAGCCCTTGTCTTGGACGTTCGCCGAGAGGACATGCGGGATGCGGCTTGCAGGACTCCCCAGTCAAGCTCCGTGCACGAGGACCTGTGGCTCGCGTTCCGTGACCTGGTGAAGCGCCAACCTAGAGCGAAAGCTCAGGCAACGGGAAAAGCAGAGAACAAGACCCTTCGAAGAGGTGCCTCCCAACGCCTCGGTGATCTAGGACACAAAGCAAAAGTCCGGATCAAGCAACTTTCCAAAAAGCTGAGTCTTTTGGAATCACCGCAAAAGAGCCCTGATCGGGCCGTGCAAGAAGTGGTGGACTTAGCGGCATCTCTCCAGGATGTCACTGCCCGCCTCGATGCTGCCAAAAGCTTGGAGGACCTTGCCCACCATGCACCGACCAACCCGAAGCTGCGGGCTGCTCTGCGGAAGGTGCAGCTAGAGCTTTTCATCGCCATCGGCGATCATATTCCAGAGTCTCCCGAGTCCCCAGAATCCCTAGAGTCTCTAGCGTTTGCGGAGGCTGCAGCCCTGGCGCTGCATGCCGGGCACATGGCAAAACTGGGTTTTGACCCTCTGAACGTTGGCAGTGCTTTGTCGCAGGTCGCCCTTCGCAATGTGACGTGTGCGCATGGTGACCCCGATGAGCACAAAGTTAGGCTGCTGCGCCTCATCGATGCTCTGGCTGCCATGGGTACTCGTAGCTGTGTCCATTCGGTTCCTGCCTTGGTGCAGGTCGCCATTCTTGCCCCAAGAGCAGGCCTGGAGGATTGCAGCGAGCGTGCTGTCAACACCTTACTGAGATTCTGCCAGTCGGAGGTTGAGAACGAGACGGACGAGCAAGGCGTGGCAGGGGCCAGGCATGCGTTCAACCACGCTGCGTCCCTCAGCATCGCTGCCAAGCAGCTGAGCAACTTGTCACGCACGTCTGCGTGGGATCGCTGGTGGCGCCGGTTCTGGCAATGCTGGATGCAAGAGGAGGTCTACCGGCAGGACCTTACCCACGGCGAGGCGAGCCGCCTAATGGATGCGATCTCCCGGTACCAGCAGCACACCCGACCAGATGTCACGGAACTCTTCGACGTGACGAGCAAGCAGTCGAGGGAGGCCTTTCGCGCCTTTGGCATCAAAGTCGTCGACCCAAAGAATGTCCAGGATCTCAAAGAGGGCGTGGCGCTGGTCCTGGAGTCACCTTCCCACAAGCCGCGGCACCTGAACCTCCACGCCATCGAGGTGCTTGCACAAAGAGCCGCCGCCTTGCAGCACCTTGCGCAGCACGTGGCGCCCGAAGGTTCAGGCAGGATGGAGAACGGAAGTACCGGAAGGCTCAGGTACCCACATGCGATCCCACAGGTGATCCCACACGCGATCCCGGTGTTGCGACCAGGATGGCTGATGGTTGACATTGTGTCCGCCATCAGCCATGCCTTCATCTGCCTCCTCTTCTCCTTATGGCCCTGTCTCGTGAGTCTCGGCTTGGCGCTGGCAGCAGAGCCGTACGGTCACTTTGCACCCTGGGAGAGGCTCTCCAGCCTGTACGTGTCCGAAAGGCTGCACGACCTGCCCTGGAAACTTCTCATCATGGAGCCGCCTTTCCACCATCTTGGCGGAGCCTGTTCGGTTGCGTTCGTCCTCCTCTGCATCAGCAGCTTGAGATCCTGCTGCACTGCCTCCATTCCGAGCACCTACATGCACCTTGCAGCCGACATGGTGGTTCGGAAATCCCTCCACAGCATGACGCCGGATCGGAGTGGGGCCAGGCTTGAACAATCAGAGGCGCCGGAGGCATCGAAGCATGTGAGCGATGCTGAACAAAATCCAGATTCGAATTTCCAAGCCTTCCTCCGCCAGCTGGCCGTCCGTGTGTTTGTCCGTGTGAACGTCGGTGTTCATGAGTTTTTCCATGCCTTGCCGTGGGTATGTTGCAGCCTCCTGGCTGCCTGTGCTTCTGCGTATGCATCCGTGGTGCTGATATGGCTTGCAGTGGCCATGCTGGTTGACAGTGCCCGCATGGTGCCGCTCGTCACGTCACTCGTCAGCTTCGGGGCCTTAGTGATCAGGCGAGGCACAGCCTGGTTCGGCTTTCAGCAGAAGGTGCGAGCTCAGCTCGAAGAGCTCGCGGACAAGCTCGTGCTGCGCTTGGTCGGGGCGGGCGTCGCGTCGCTCATGCTGCCCCCGGCTGACGCACAGGCCAGCTTCGAGCGGCTCAAGTCCGGCAGCGGCAGTGATGCTGACCTCTTTCATGTACTCGCCCGGCAAAAGTCGGAGAGTCAGAAGGTCGTCAGCCTCCTTCGAGCCCGGCTGATGTACAGGCTCTTGCTCTCCAAAACACGTGTCGATGCAGTTTTGGAGAGGCTCGGGTTGGATGCGGCGCTGCCCCTGGCAGAGTTCCTGAAGTTCCAGGCTGCAATCCGAGCCGAGGTCATCCGGTGCATGCTGAACTACCTGGGCTTGGATACCACCTCGGGCTGGCGGTTTCTGAGGAGGGTGTCCTTCCTGGCCTTCCTGCTCTTTACAACGCTTTTGGTGGTGCTCTGGGCCTTTCCGATGTCCTCAGGTGATGATCCTTGGCGGCAATTCAGTTGTGGGCGTCATGTCAACAACGCGTGCGCCATGGGTTATATGGGGTATTGTGGGGTTCTTGCACTAAGAGTAGGGCTTCGCGGCTCTCGATTCAGGCTCATTGTTTTATTTACTGGCGGGAAAGACATAAACATTGTTGGGGTTTTCTTCACAGGTACCAGCAAATATGAATGAGCGGGTTAACGCTCACAAAGCATCCTGCGTCGAACGCTCTCGCCTGGATCTTCGAATTCTTGACCTCTCGTTCCGTGGTCCCAACTGCACCGCCACAGTCCCGCAGCACGTCTGGGCACTTGAGTCTTTCCGTGTCGCAAAAGCAACACAGAACAGGGACCTCTGCACTTTCCTGCCTCGTCTTGGACGGGTCGGCATTGGCCGCTCTGCGCTGTCGCTGCTTTTGGTCCTGGCTCGTGTTCTTTGGAAGTGAAGAACTGTTCAGTCCAAGTCGTGCCCCCGCACAACCTTGAATTGCAGCGAGTGGCACTTGCGATGTGTGTGTCGGCCCTCGCAGTCACTGTTTTGGGGTCAACGCGCAAGTGCCAGCCCAGTTCTCCTTCTCGTGTTAGATCGCAACTCAGGATACTTTCGGACTGGTCGTCTCCGGCCTGATGCCGGCAGCTTTGGGGTTCATTCTGAACGGCACGCTGCCTTCGGCGAAGCTCAAGAACCAGGACCTCGTCGAGCAGGTGGAGGAGTGGCTCACCCAGTGGCAGGTGCAGGCGGTGGACTTCGTGAGCCAGTCGCAGATGAGTGTTAAGAAGGCAGCCGTCGCCTTCATGGACGAGTGGCTTGACCACAGCTTCTTCCAGAAGCTGAAGGCCTGGCTGCTGCAGCTCGACCTCTTCACGATCGGGTGCATGCTGGACGAGCTTGGGGACCAAGAAGGCTTCATCAAGCTCACCCAGCATCCAGCTCTGCTCCTCTCGAAGGTCTCCAATTGGGAAGCGCAGGACCTCACTCAACCCATCCCCCCCCCCCCCCCCCCCCCCCCAACCCCCGCCACCCCCGCATGCCCCTCCAGCAGGACCTGGTTCCGGCTTCCGTTATGGACTCCTTGTGGTGTGCCTTGGTGGACCAGGGCCTGGATCTCCTGAACACTACGCTGAAGGTGCCACTGCCCAGTCACTCAAGCATCTTCTTTGGCAAGTTGTCATGACTGAGTTTTGGTCCAAACCTCTTTTTTGGGGGGCTGCTCGTTAGTGACAAGGGGGGGAAGTCCAAGAACAGTTGAGGTAAAGTGGAAGAGGAGCTCAGGAAGTTCCGGCATTCAGATCGCCTGGCCACCGTCCTCAAAGATGCCGCCAAGGCAAGCGGCAGCTTGCCCACCTCAAACGACCCGGACATCCCGCTCCAGCTCATGCAGCTGATCTGCCGGCTGCTCCGGGGCTTGCTTCAAGAGCTCGCGACTGAGGTGGGGGGTTTCCGTAACTAGGGGTACCTTATTGGGGTCCTTATTCTAAGGGAATCCTCCTATGTGGGGGACTACATTAGGGGCCCCCAGGTGTTGCAAGAGCTCTGGGACCAATCGCTGGTTCCGATCAGCTTCGTCGGTTCCAACTTCGGCGTGTCGCCGGAGCGGCTCGGACATCTTCTTGTCTGTTGTCTATTGAATCTATTGTCTATTGAATCATGCAGGGCAATGGTATATCTTGTGTATAGAAGTACATGGGGTAGATTGCATCGAGCTTAGGCTGCTCTCCCGATGCCGGAGCCTCGATGTGGGCTCCGCGAAGAAGTGCCTCTCACAGGGCCTTGCACGCCTGGAGCAGGCGTTGTCCACGGAGTTCCTTGCGGTTGGTTAGCAGGGAATGAGGGAATGAGGTACCCTATATAATCCCTTTAAGGGTAGATATAGGGGGATATGAGGTACCTCATCCCTCATTCCCTACCAACCAACAGTAAGGTTCTCGGAGGGCTGGAGGTCCTCCCTGGCGTCGTGCTTCGACCACCTGGCGCTGGAGGTCTTCACCGAAGCCTTGCGGTCCATGGTCCGGGAGGTCGAGGTGGAGCCCCACGCGTCGGCGGCTGTGGAGTGCCTCCTGGACTTCTTGGAGCAGGCGGACAGCTCCGACGTGGTAAGCTTCGGGGGGGAGGGGGTTTCCGAACTTTCCTTACTTAGAGAGGGTGCGCACCCTTTGAAGACTGATCCAAAAAAGAGAAAGCGGGGGGACTCTGGACCTGAGGCGGACAGCTTCTCGGAGCTGCGGGACGTGCTCCAAGATCCCAAGAAGTGGCTTCGCCTGGCCGTCGCCAGCGGAGACATGGGCATCCGCCTCATATTTGTGGGCCAAAAGCAGGTTCTGGAGCAGACCATCGGCGAAGCACTCAGCGAAGAGCAGGTCGCGCTACTCTGCCGGAGCAGCGGGACCTTCTTCACGCAGGGCATCGCCAAGGGTGGGCTGACTTGGTTGGGCCAGACGCTGAAGCATCCCATTCCCTTGGCTCTCCACTTGCTGGACTTGGACCTCAAAGAGCTCATGGTCCTGGAGCCCCTCTGGGATTACGCCCGGAGAGAATGCCTCAAAGGCCTCAGGAGCTTGAGGCTACCGGCAGAGCTGACGCAGTACCTGGAGGACCTTCCCTTTCAGGAGCTGGTAAGGAGTGCGAAGGAGATGAGGGACCTCCGCCCTGTGAAGACGGTGCCACAGCTGTCAAGTATGTGCGGAGCAATGGCAACCGTGAGCCTCCTCTTGGTGAAGGATTCTCCGACAGTTTCAGCATATTTCAGCCTTGTATGTTTAGAGCATTTGAAAGAGTGCCTGGTAGATTCCCGCATCTACGTACAAATACCTCGCTTCCCCTCTGCCCAGCTTTGAAGCCCGAAACGACCCTGAAAGCCCCCAAAAGGGCCCCAAACCCTAAACCCCCAAGCCGCACTGTTTGGACGCACCCGGCTCTGCTAAGGGTGCGCTGCTCACGCTGCTTCAAGACTGCCCGAAGCTGCAGCCGCTGCTACACTGTGTGACGCTCGAGAACATCAAGAGGATTGGGAAGCTGAGAAGAGGCACCGATCTCACGGCGATGGCCAAAGGCTTCATGGAGGAGCTCGTCAACGGCATGTTGGAGCAGCTTCCAGCCCCTTTGCTTTAGTCTTAAGTTTGCCTCATAGTCACGGAGCCGACTTGCCTCCTTCCCTTGAGGCCTGGCACATGGGCACCATCTGCTTTCAGCACGAGCAGGTGAAGTCCTTGGCAAAGGTCTTCCTGGGCCATGGCACCGAGGCCGGGGCATGAGCTCTCGGTTAACAGCACTTTTGAACGCTGTGCTGTGCCAAAGATACATTGTCCCGTCACACTGGCCAACACCAGCCCGCAGGCCGGCGAACGCTGGGACGCAGGCAACGTGCGACGGGCTTCCGGCCTACGTACTTAGGGATTATGGGCTGGGGTTGAGGTTTCACCTAGACCTAGAACCCAAAAACCTAAAGTGGTTAGGGTGGGAACAACATGGGCTCAAAAAATGGCTCTGGCAGAGGCTGCGCCCTTTATCCTCCATGTTGTTAGGTGTATTAGAGCCGTAATAGAGCCGCCTGTAATGAGTAGACAGGCCTTCATGAAGCAACAAATCAGACATAAAAGCCCCAACACTGCCAACAAAAAATGACATTTTCAAAGTAAGCGGCAGGTGACGGCCAGTCCGTGGAGCAGAAGACAGAGGACCAGCTCTGGGTCTTCGCGAAGAGCAAGGCCGCAAGGGCTTTGGGGTTTAGGGTTTAGGGTTTGGGCTCGAGGGTTTCGGGTTTAGGGTTCAGGGTCTAGGGTGTTAACCAACAACAGACCGCAACCAAAGTCTGAAGAGTTTGATTCCCCCAAACAGTCTGTCAGCAGTATGGGGGTTCCAGCGTAAAGAGCAAGTGGCAGAAGGTAAAACCCGCCGCGCCACGCGCGCGGCCCCGAATCGAAGCTTGCTCGTGCAATTGTTATAGGGAGGCCTGTGAGTGCTCTTGGAATGGTCTTGGAGTCTTGAATTGCTGTTGCAGTGGGCTTGGAGGGCTTTTCTGGCGTCGTCTTGGAGGGGTCTACGCTGGTGCTTTATGGGTTGTATCACGTTAAAGGGATGTCCTACGGCGCTGTAGGGCACATGGACTCACAGGAAGACTTTCCAAGCCGCAAAGGAACCCCTTCCCTCCCCTCCGCCACCCCCGCCCCTCTTCCTTGGCTCCCTCCCCCTCCCCATCCCCTTCCCCTCCGACGCAAAACGCCTTCACAATTTGCCAGGAGCAGGCAGATGAACTCGTCCCGCTCTGGCAAGAACGCCGCTTGAGCTGCGTTGTGTTACACTGCCAAGCGTGAAGTTTAAGTTAAAGGTTTACGGTTCTCGAGCTACTGTGGCCGTTAAACCGTTGGTCTCTTTTCTTTTTTGGGACCCCCCCATAGATGGCTGCCTATTTGTACAGCAGCTGCCAGGTACTGGTAGGGGTTTTTAGGGTTTAGGTTTTTTTGTTTTTTTCCCGGACAGCTTTCGTGGCCGCTTGCGAGGATTGGCCGGCTTAGGCTGTTCATGCACTCCACCCAGGTTTACGGCTTAGGTCCGGGAACCCGAAGACGAAGCATGTGCATCAACACATATCAACACCCTTCTTTGCTTTTTCAGGCTCCCCGAACCCAGCAGAAATAGTGAATAGCACTTTGAGGCACGCAGCGGTCTGAGGGCCTCGAGGCACTTGTGGAGGTGGCTCTGGGGCGTCCCGGGTAGTGAGTGGGTGGGTTCGGCTTGTAGGATGTTTGACGGCCTTTGGGGGCCGTGTTCGGGGTGTTAGGGGATTTAGGCGCGTACGCTCCGACTCGTAGTTTTATCTATGTATCTATCTATATGTATATCTGTAGCCATATCGAGATCTACATCCATGTCAACATTTTTTGTTGGGGGGGGGGGGGGGGGGTTTGGGCTTCGTTTCCGGATTCCTCGCGCTCCGGTGGCCAGGCCGCCGAGGCTGCCGAGGCCTTCATGCAGGCCTGGCAGCCGCGGCAGGTTCTGGACATGCTCCTCTGCCTCCTCCGAGAGGAGGGAGGGCTCGAGCCGGGGCCTCAAGGTGCTGCTGTTGGGTTGTTGGGTGTAGGATGTGGGGTTGGGAGACCTCATCCAAGGCGTGTCCTTCCGACTTTGTGGGCTGCCGCCGTCTCAAGCATCCTTCCCAACGGAGGGTTCTTCGTGGAGAAGTTGCGAAGCGTGGACATCAAGACTGACTTCCCCCAGAAGGTCGTTTGCATTCTCCGGGACTTCGAGCCAGAGAGGGTGGACCAGCTGGTGTTCCTGATCTTGAAGATCGGCCTCGCCCACTTCTGCGCCAGCGAACTTGATGCGGTTTCAGGCATGGACAGCGAGACTTCGACGTCCGTCATCCTGAGCCTCACCGTGGAGGAGCTTCAAGATCTCGCTTCCAAGCTGCAAGACCAGCTGAAACCTGTCATGAGGCGGCTCCTCGCATCGAGCATGGAGCGTGTTCTCACACAGGCTCTTGCAGGGCAGCTGAGCGACGTCATCCCTGAGAAATTCGGGCAGAGACTGCAGGTGAAGCACGTAGTTACAATTGCAAAGACGCTGCGATCGCAGAAGCTGCTCGAGTGGACGGGCAGCCCGGGCGATATGCGGCAGAGCCTGACGAAGCTATTCCAGGAGGAGCCCTGGTCCCTGCTGCTCAAAGTGCTCAACTGCTCCTTGGTGGATTCTGGAACTAGCAAGCATGGCGAACTCGTGTCTCCTTCAGGCTTAGGTACCACTTTTGAGAATAGGATCCCTTACAAAAAGGAGCCCCCGCCCCCTCCCCCCCCCCCCCCCCAAAAGCGAATGAACGAAACCCTAATTGAACGCGCTTCGCGCCGACCTCGTCGGACGACCCCAACCTGAAAATCTGCAAAATCCCTTGGTTGTGTTGCCTCGTTGCTTGCCAGCCGCTCTTTGCTCTGGGGGGTCGGTGGGAGAAGGGGACGGCTGGGGAAATCACGCGAACGCCGGTCCCTTCGCATGAGAATTGGGTGTGCTCCATCCTCCAAACCTAATCACAAGGCGGGGCAGCAGGGGTTTTCGGTGAAGCCTCCGAACACCCGGCCGGGGCCAACCGAGGTCGCCGCAGTATGGGATTAGGAAGTTGCGCACGAAGCTGAAGCCCTAAACTGCCCTAAACCCTAGGCGCTCTATAAGACACTCCTCACACGCCGAGGTCCTATGACCAAAGAGCTGCCGCCGCCTCAGTTGGAGTGCTATGCGACATAAAGTTGACCTGAGACACGGTAGCTGCTGACTCGAATGCTTTTGAGGATGGAGCTCTTCAAACCAGTTGTGAGAAAGGGGCTCGCGCAGCTGCTGGACGGCGATGTTGGCAAGGGCGTGATGGCACAGTTTCTACGGAGGATGATCACAAGGGATGGGGAGGGCGATGAAGAGACGCAGGACAATGCTGACGCCAGTCTCGCGGAGAAGCTGGAGAAGGTCACTGTCGACCAGCTGCAGCAGGTTTTCCGGAAAGTCCTCCATCACCAGCCGGTTAAGTCGGAACGAGATCTGCTCGCAGTGATCTTGAAGACGGTCCTCCTTGACGTGGAGGAGGAGCTCTGTAAGAAGATGCAGCTGAACGAGCGGCTGCCGAACTTGGACCTTGAGTCGGCCATCATGCCTCTCACCAGCACCGAGGCTTTGGAGCTCCTCCGCCAACAAGACTGGGACGAGGTCGCGAAGCTTCTGCGGAGGGTTCTGGACAAAAGCGCGGAGCTGGGCGCGGAGCTGGCCCTCACAAGGGCCATCGCCAAGTCGATGGAAGAGTCCAGCCTGGTCCTCCCCAAGGAGGTTCGCCCATTCTTGAATGCCAAGTGCCTCGTTGCGAGCGCCAGGGTGCTGAGGTCCCAGCAGCCCCTGCTGACTACCCCGGATGCCTTGATGGAGAAGCTAAGGGAGCTGGTTCAAGATCCTTGGGCCATGGTGCTGCAGCTTCTCAAGAGTCTCACTGAGGAGCAGGCGCCCCTTGGCTGAACTTCTTTCTGAGCTTCTGAACCAGCCAGAACTCCTTTGGCCAAATCTAGGTGATCTCTGGGGGGATGGAGCATCTTTCCCCCATCCCCAAAGCCTGAAGTCAATGGAGCAGCATGCAAAAGTCCAAGATGACTGCCGTGATTCTGTTGGGCCCCGTTAGTTGCAGCTGAGGTCCCTGTTGGAACCTCTCTGGGTGGCCGTGGTGAAGTGGCTCTCCTCCCTTCTGGAAAGCCAGCTCGGTGTCAAGGAAGCCTTGATGAAGCTCTCGGAGAGGAGCTTCCTCCGCCGCGTGCCCGCGCTCCTGCGCCGCCTCAAGCAGGCCGCGCTCGCGGAGGCGTCCTTCCGCCTGGAGTCCTGGGAAGAGCTGCTTGTGTTGATGCTGAAGGTTGGGCTCCTGAGCCTGGAGGATGCCTTCGAAGCACGCCTAGGGCGCCAGGGGCGCTTTTGCGTTCATTGCATGCTGCAGCAAGCAACGGCAGCCGACTTGCGGAAGGCATGTGCCGACGTCTTCCGGGAGCCAGAAGAGACCCTTGAGCTTTTCAAGAGGAATCTGGACATGGATGGGGCCATCCTGCTGGCCACTTCAAGCTTCCCAGTCTTGGGCAAGCTGGAAGACGCCGGCTACGACGTGCCGGGCATTGCGAAACTCCTAGCCTCCTCCTCGAGCTCGTTCGATCTCTCGGCTTTGCCCTCGATGCTTTCTGGCTTGCTTGAAGGTCAGAGGGGGGAGAAAGTTCGGGAAAGTGTCTGGAAGTTCCGGTCGACATTTCCCAAAGCAGCTGCCTCCCTGCCACGCTGCCCTCTGCCCACGTCCCAACCCTAAACCCTGGGAAGGCGATCTTTCAGCCGCGTGGGCGCTGCTGACGACACTGCTCAGGAAGGTGGAAGCGGATGACCTGCCACCCGGCTTTGTGTTTCTCTGCTTCTTTCGTAGGCTTACGTATGCTTTCCGGTGGCAGGTCTGCTTGAACATCCGTCATGGTTTCTTTTGAGTTGCCCACTGTCGGCTTTGACTTCTGCGATACTGTAGTTGTTGCTGTACGACATGCCGTCACTGTCGCGGTTGCACCTCTGCCTCGCTCTTGGTCCCATTGCTAGTAGTGGAGTCACGAAGTTGGCTGTCGATCGTCCTCTAGTCTGATGACCACCGGCACAGACCGAGGTCGCCGTTGGAAGCCATTTGGGCCAAGGCGCGTGACAAGGCGCTGAACCCTCTGATTGAGGACAATCAGCTCAAGGCGGAAGTCGCCCAGGTGCTGCAGGAGACGACGCTGAAGGACCTGCGGCCGCAGCTGAAGGTCGCTGCACAGAGGTGTCAGAGCTATGAGAGCGATGAAGCTGTGATCCTGACGGCCATCGACTTGAGCTTGCGCTCTGGCGTGAACTCGAACCTCCAGCATCTCCTTGAAGACAAGCCGGGGATTCTGAGGCTCCAGCAGTTCCTCACGGACAAGCTCCAGGCCCTCGCGCATTTGGGCTGCAAGAGCAAGCTGTCCTGTCACGGCGCCGCCGTTTCGAAGGGTGTATGGTTTTGGGGATGCTGCCGGTTCACCTCGATTTCGGAGCCATCTATTTGAGTTGCTTCCGCCCCAACGATCCACCGTTTTCGACATGAAACACACGTCTTAAGTGTTTTCAAGAGCCACTAGCCGAAAAAAAAACGCACATCAATCAGGCAGAGAGTTACGGCTCTCAGCGCTGTAATGCTCTGTAGTATATAGGTCAGGAGCAACATAAAGCAAATGTGGGTCGGACATGCGGAGTGCTTCGTGTGGGTTACATGCCGATGACATTGGTGAAGTGTTGTTGCATCGTGCCATATCACGGAAGGTAACAGGCTGACAGATTGCGTCGGTATTTGCACCGTTTCGAGTGATTCGCACGCCGACAACACCATTATTTTACGCGCTTTCTCGCGATGATTGTTCTCCTTTTGTTGCGGGCCAAATCGGGCGAACCGAGGCACGAGCCAGTCCTGGCGAAGCCATGGAGCCTGGCCCAAGACTCTTGGGCCTATTCACATTGTTACTATTAGTAGTCGCATTAGTAGCATCTTTCGTATAATTTTGTCACTGCTATGGTTCTTATTGATACGGCTATTATTATTCTGATTATTGTTAGGTTTTTTTATGAGGATGATTACTACCATCATTGTTACTATGATTATTGGCATCCACAGAGCGTGTCCCACATTGCTGGCATGTCTTGGTGCAACTGTCGGCAGCCCGGCACAGTACGATGAGCCACCTCGGAGTGAACAGCCAAGGATGGGGGCAACTCGGCAGAGTGGCTCTGCGCAGTTCTCGACGAGACGAATGAGACCAACAGCCTGTCAGCAGCTCACAGCTTGTTTTTTTTTTTTTTTTTTTTTTACCAACTCTTCGCCGTTTGTTTTTTTGAGAACCAGCATCAAGTACTTCGTTGCAGCGCACAAGAAACAGCTGAAAACGCGCCCTGTGCCCCAGAGCAGCCTCAGGCCTTTCCAGCCCTTGGGGAAGGCAGTGGTTGCAGAGGTGGAGAAGATTCTTGCGTATTCTGAAGATTCAACCTTCGTCGTGGAGTACTTAGGGCAATGTTCGCTGGAAAGCGTCTTGAATAGAACCAGTGAACCAGTCCTCATGTTGATCGTTGTGCAGTATGGGCTGCACCCTACTGTAAGCCCTAAACCTTCCGTCTGCGTGCCAGCTTATGCAGCATCTAGGGTTGAGGGAAGGGCGTTTAGGACCTGTGAGGTTTTCAGCCCATCTTCAAGCAAATGAAGAAGCTTTACGAAGACATCAGCGAAGACACCTTCTTCCCACGGCTGCTCACAATGTGCACCATCTTGTGCCTGGACAAGGAACCCCTGGAGATTGTGCTTCAGTCCTCAAAGATGTTCTTTTTTGGGGCACCCCCCCCACAAACTAAAAAAGTATATATATATATATGCATACAAAGATCGATATATGTGTATATATATATATATATTGTATACATATATATATATATATATGTATATATATATACATATATATATATATTTATATGTATATACATATACATATACATATACATATACATATATATATATATATATATACATATATATATATATATATATATATATATATATAAGCAAAACAAAGAGCCACAAAACTTAGAGGACTACCCATATTGTGCCGCTTGCCACAGTGGCTTTGCAGGAGGGAGTTCTGGACTCAGAGCACGGGATGCGTTGCCTCGGCATCCGCCTGGCGTTGCAGCCGCTGTTGATTGCAATCCAACCAAAGACCCAGCCAGACATGCTAGGTGGGGGTGTACGAAAAAAGGTGCCCCTTAAAATATCAACTCCCAAACAAGTAGGATCCCTTATAAAACGAACCCCAATGAGGTACCCCTAGTTTCGGAAGCCCCCAGGTAAGTTGCGAAAAGGACTTAAGCCCCCGGGCAGCCTGGCAAGCACTCTGCGGGACATTCGGAAGCTGGTCAGAGAGTCGGCCACGCGCAAGAACGCCGGCGCCATCAGAAGCATGGACGCCGACCACCTGGATGTCCTTCTCAACACACTCGAATCGAAAGACCTCAAGGACCTGCTCACAAAAGAAGGTGCTCTTGCGAAGCGCAACTTTGCTGCAGGATGTGACAGCGCCATAGACCCCTCCCTAAACCCTAAACCCGAAAACCTAAACCCTAAATCCTAAACCCTAAACCCAGTGTCACGCTGTGGCCTGCCAGGCGTTGGGCTGAAAACGTTTGTTCGGATGCTGGTTCGACTCTCCGGTCGCGTGCAGGTGCGCGGCCTGCACGGCCATTTGACTCAGTATAGCATGTATAGCCCAATACCCCTTAATGAAGGAATAGACCTTAAATCATAAATTACGGTATATTCCTCAATCAAGGGGTATTGGGCTCTCTGGGTAGAGTCGAAGTTAACTTCGAGTAGCTCCGATTCAGTGCCGTCTATAGTCAGGGTGCAGACAACTTCGTTCTTCCTCTTCAGACTTTTAGCAATGGCTCACAAAGCCACTGTCTATCCAGTGCCTCTATCAAGCCAGGGGGATAGCAGATACTCTATGCCTTTCAACGGCCTCAACCCCAAATCTCATATATATATATATATACATATATATCTACCCCTTTAAACCCTAAACCCTATATATCTTCCAGCATCAGAAAGCTCTTCTCTTGGCAGTTTTGCCAGGGCCTGGAGCCCCTTTGGCACGCAGTCAAGCACACGCTGGACAAGGACTGAGGGAGCCACGTTCGGGTTTGGGGTTTAGGGTTTAGGGTTTAGGGTTTAGGGGTTTAGGGGTTTAGGGGTTTTGGGTTTTCGAGACTTTACAGTCCATTGATCAGCTTATAAGGTCGATGGCGAGAAGGCCCAACTATACTGAGGCTGAAACGCCTCTGGTTTAGCAGAAGTGCAGCACTTTCTGGTGTACCCATTTTAGTGCAGAATTCGCTTGGTTGCGGCACGTGTTGGTTTTTTTCTCCGCGATCCAATGTTACATTTGTCACACGTCACGTTCGGAGAGGAGATGGCCAGCACCTACTGGACATCGCTGCGGCAGTTCCAGCTGGCCGACTTGGGGCCCCATCTGCAGTCCATGATCCACGCACACGCTTCACCCGAGCAGCTGGCTGATCATGACGATGGCTTCCCGCTGCTTTGCGGCAGCCTCTTGGTGATGTGCAGTGAGCAGATCCAGCGTGCTGGGCGCCAGCAGGGCTTCATCTTCGATGCCAAGATCCTTGAGTCCTTAATGACCTGCTCCAGCTTACAACGGATTCAGACCTTCATGCAGATTGAGCCCAAGTGGCTCTTCCAGAAGCTCAAAGAGGTCATGTTCACAGGCAAGGAGCAGCAGAGGACCAACCTCCAGCTGAAGAAGTTCCAGCTGGCCAAGGGGGATCTTCCGGCCCTGCTCTTGCTGCAGGGTGAGGACATCCTGAATGGGCTGCTTGCGCTCTTCGGAGTGGAGATCGACGAGGGCGAAGACCAGGACGAAGATGTGCAGGACTCTGCATGGAAGGAGAAGCAGGAGGAGAAGAGGAAGCAGAAGGCAGAATTGCAGGTCTCCTTACGGCAGAGGGTGGAGAAGTGGTTGCAGAAGCCCCAGGCGCTGCTTCATTTGTTGTTTGCACCTTTGCATTGTTTCACAGGTTCGCTGAAGACCATCACTTAGCTTATTGTGGCCGAGACAGGTGGTCCTCTCAATTAGAGGCTCCAGGCAGTTCTGCAGTCCTTGTCCTTGACTCCGTCCAGTCGCCAGCTGCCACACCTCAGGCGAAGGTGGTACTTTTGCTGTCCATGCGCAAGCAGATGCTTGCATGGAACGTTGCTTGGGAGGCCAGCCGGTTTGCAAAGAGTTCTGATTTTTTCCTTGCATGCCGGCCTCAGAGAGCACCCCTGCAAAGGACATGCAGGCAGTCATTGAGGGGCTGGAGGCCTCCGACGACCAGCTCCAGGAGATGGTGGCAACCACTGACGACTCCTGGGTGAAGTTCCTCGCCTACGAGAAGGGAAGCACCGCCTCCTGCAGCAGCAAGCTGCTGGCCTTGGCGAAGCGCCGGGCGGAGCTCGCGGAGGACTTGGCACTCCTGGAGCCTTGGGGGAGCAAGTGGGCGTTTTTTTAAATACGGTTTCCAGTGCTTTGGGGGGGAAGTGTCGCAGGGCCTTTTGACTTGTGAAGTCAGCTTGAGGCTGCATGAGGCCACTGTTCGGGTATATTGCTGGGGGTCGTTCATGCGGTGTTATGTGGGGTTGAATGGTTTTTTTCTATGGTTTTGTGTTTTTTCATATGCCCGATGTAAGGAACCCGGCCTCAGCTGGGCTCGCTTCCGGGACCGGATGTCGCAGTCCCGCCTTTCCCCTGCGTCTCTCCGCAAAGCCGATGCCGCGTGCCTGCTTCAGCACTTCCGCAAGGCGGCTCTTTGTAGGATTCTTTGCTTTGGGATATGCGCTGTTGGCTTTTTTGCACTCTGTGTTCTCTGTGTTGGGTCGGCACTTCCCGGCAACACACAGTACGTCCCTGCATCTCCAGCGCGAATGCGAAAGCAGTGTCAGCGGCCTGGACAGGTGCGGCCTCCGGCAACGCCCCTGCCTCCAGGGCCTTCGCCAAAGGCTCCGCCAAAGGCGCCGCCCTTGGCGCCAGCTTCTGCCGCGCCAGAGCTGCCGAGATCTCAGCAAGCAGGGCTGCGTCAGCACGGCGAGAAAGTCAAGCCTGAACTTAGGCCGACATGACTGAGACCTGTATGAAAAGGAGCTTGAAACATTCCTTTCCTTCTTGCAGGTGGAAAAGTCATCCCTGATGACCCGAGGTTGGTGCCTCCGCACCTGGCTACCACAAGCGCGGTCGAAGAAGGCTCTGAGCATGAATCAGACTCTTTTCCGGGATGGGGTTATTTACTGGACTTATCTGGACTGTGCAACGTGCTCATTTTGCTGAGCTGGTTAGGAGCCCGCTGTAGAGTCGCACTCAACCTGTGATTACAGGTTCCGAAAGGTGGTAGAAGCGCCCAGGGCCCAGGGCTGTAAGAGTTCTGTTTCAGTCCAGCCTTCCGCTGTAATTGCTCATCTCGCCAGGCGGGCCCCAGTCTGGAGCTGAGACCCCGATGCCCCAGCTACAGCCAGAAATACCAGCGCCCTTGGCGCCGCCCGCCGCAGGGCCACCACCCTTGCCGCCGCCTGCGGGGCCGCCACCCTTGCCGCAGCCTGTAGGGCCAGAACCTGACATGCTGCCGCTGCCCTTCGCGCCAATTCTGCCGGCAGATCCGACGCCGAACAGACCCCAAGGCGGCCACAGTTGATCCCTCGATTGCCCATGCGGCAAAACCCCCCCTCTCCAGGCGAACCATCCCAGCACAAAGCCAAGCGTTGATCCCTGCTCCTGCTCTTCTCGTATGACTACTGACAACTCCGGGTCAGACTGGCTGCTGCTTACTAATTAGAGATGCACGTGCTCGCAGATTGTGAGCTCGAACAAGTCGACGAAGGACTGAAATGGCTTAATTACAGTACGGCTGACCAAATGCAACAGCAGAGGCCGAGGCGTGTCGTTCAAAGCCATGTTTTTCTCATAGCTTTACAGTGCTTTGCACACCTCTCGAACATATCTTAGGTCTTAGGCTTCTTCTTGATTCTGTTGCCTACCGTCGTGCTTTGATGCCCGGAGATGCATGCGCCAGTGAATTCGGGGGCCACCTTGGAGTTGCCCATGACCAATGGAAGCCAAGCCATGTCGGAGTTGCCCAATATGGGCTGGACCTGCGGCGAGCACCCTAAACCCTAAACCCTAAACCCTGAACCCTGAACCCTAAACCCTAAACCCCAAACGGCCCTAAACCCTTACTAAACCCTAAACACAGTGCAAAGCTTGGCGGGTTGGCCTCTGACTCTGTTTGCCCAAAGCAGGCTACTAAGTCGAGGGGCCGCCCATACTCGCTGCAAGCTTGGCCGGATGTAGAAGCATCTGGTCGGGATGCCTCGGTCCCAAAAGGGATTTGAGTCTCGCAGTGTTAGAGAGTGCCTTCAAGTCCTCACTTAATGCTTTTAGGAGTTTGATTGGGATGTTTCCCCCTTATACTCACCGTCCTTACTAGGGATTCTAGTACCCCCCCCCCCCCCCTGTTCTAATCTCCATTCAGGACTGCTAGACTAAGGGGGAGCATCCAAAGTTTACAGGGTTTGATGGGGCTGATTTGTCGGGTTTGTGTTTGGGGGCTTGGCAGCCGGCCTCTGGGCCCTACGTTAATTATCTTTGTGGCGCTTCCGTGCGCTTTCCTCAAAGCGCAGAAGTCTGCGGCCACCATGAAGAAGCTCCAAATCAAGAATGAATAGCGTTTAGATTAGGGTATGTTGGGGTTCAAGTTGGGGGTTCAGCTTAAGTTCCACATCAATTGCTCCGAGAGCTGCAGCAATCGTACCACTTGCACGTGGCATGGTGGTGGCCGCTTCATCGGCAAGAGCAGGCAGCCATCCTGACTGCCGAGAATCGCTGGTGGTATCACCCGAACGGATGAACGTTTCACAGGACCAGTGGAAGCCAAAAGCGCACATACGCGGGGTTGATCCAACTCGGGACCCGATTCGTACACATAACATCGAGAGACATCCTGCCCAGAGAGCCATAGTCTCAGCAGCTCTACCAATCCGTTGCCCAGCATTTGGGAAGCTGCAGCGTAACGTAGAGCTCTTGCTCAAGTAGTTGATGACGTCGGTCATAAGGGGCATCCTCTTAAAGATCCTTTTGGGCTCAGAAAAGAAACCCCCCTGGTTCTTAGTAGGGAATGGGGAATTAGACACCTGCATATTTTTTGGTTTCTTTTTTTTAATATTCCGTACTAGGAACCAGCAAGTACCAGGTCAAATTGGTTTCCTTTGCTCACGTTGCTCGCACGCAGTAGCGGATTCATGGACCATTCTGCAACCTACCTGCGTTGGGGGGACGTCATGATTGCAGTGCATTTGCCGGCTCAGGCATGTAAGACTTCTAAGCCAGTGCACTCGCAAGGCTTGTGCTCGTTGCGAATAGTGAATAGTGACTAGTGTTCTTTTGCAGCATGGCAAACGTGCGGCTAGCCACAGTTACTCAGAACTCAGCACTCCAGACACGCCGTCCATTGCTAAAATCTTTCGGCACAGACTGTTCATGTCCACGCTCCCCAGCGCAAAAAGCCATGAACGGCTACTTCAAGTCAGAGTGTGGCAAGACCCGCGCTGATCCTGGAAGCACACGCTGGGTCCACAACAAGTTCCTGCGGACGCAGACCAAGCTGCGCTGGGTGTGCGGCTTGTGCAATGTGTGGTGCAAGGACGAGAATGGCTACAAGTGCCATCTGGAGCACGAGAATCACATCCGGAAGTCGGCGAACTCGCGCCAGAGCAAAGCTCGCGAGTTCAAGATGTCGCCGAGGGACGAGGCCTTTGCCACAAGTTTCGTGCAGTTCCTTGCGTTGAGCCCTGGCAGACTATCAGCATCGTTCCTTTTGTTTTGTGCGTGCACTCAGCTTCTCTTACGTACCTCGTGAAATATAGATGCTTCGCATCTATATTTTACTCGAAAACGAAAAAACTAAAGGTCTTTCAGCTGGAGGTAGGGGGGTTTCGGGGGCGAAGCCCCCCAATTTACTTGCGAGTGAAAACGAAGGAAGAGAAAGGCGAAGCCTTTCTCGCCCTGAGTCTGAACGACATAGAATAAAAAATAATCAATAGATACAAGCCAGCGAGTCTGGTTCGAAGCGAATGGCTTCGAATCAGACGACCTAAACTATGTAGTGAAACGAAAAATACTACTAAAAGTACATGCGCGCACATGTGTGTGGGTGCGCGAAAAGGCTCCTCAAAATCACGATGGCGTCTCTTAGTTGAATTTGGTTCAAAAAAGTCGAGTAGTTTCGAAAAAGTTGCTAAAGTGAAATTCGTATGTAATGTCGAATTCCTAAAGGGAAAAGTCGTATGTACGTCTTGTTTTCACTTTAGAAAGTTCATCGTGAAATGGCTCGACCGACAAAAACATAAAATTCTGGAATGGGCGTGACAATACGATTTTCTACTTTAGAAGGCCCATTTCCTGGATTTTGATGGGTCTATATTCCATCAAAATCCAGCTGTAAAAGTTGCCAAAAGTCGAAGCTCATCTGATAGTTCAATTTCCAACTAAACTGAACTAGAATACACAGGTTTTAGTTCTATTTCTGACTAAAACACTAGTTGCTGCCAAGTACCACTTACATGGTACAAGGATTCTAATAATGATAGTTTTGGTACTCATTCTGTTCAAGGTATTGGTTCAAGTCCACTATCCTTATCGCTGAAAGCCATAAGGATGACGGTCTTGAGCCAATACCTTTACTGTTAGCTGGCTTATTTGCTAGCTGCTACTGTTGTTGTTGTTGTAGCACGATTGTTGTTGCTGTACAGCTGTTGTTGTTGTACAATTGTTGTTGGCCCACCACCCTACTCTTATTGTTGGCTGGTAGTACGACTGTTGTTGTTGGCTGTTAGTGTATGCTGGCTGCTTACCCAAGCACCCACTGTAGCAGGTAGCCATGGTACATACGATAATTGCTAGCTGGTAGCCTTAGCTGTACTTGGCTTAAATCGAAATGGGCTTTTGTCACGATGTTTGCAGAAAAAGGTTGTTTTGGAGGTCGAAGACCGACAAAAAAAACTTTTTCTGAAAACAGCGTGACAATACGAAAAAGCCCTTTACAGCTACGAAATTGGCCTTTCAAAAGTGTTCAGAAATTGGGAAAAAAGGAAGCTATGCTTCCTTCCTTTTTTCCCAATTTACCCCAGAAATTGGCCTCTTCGGAAATGGAATTCATTTCGGAAATTGGCCTCCTTAAAGGGAAAAACAAACACTAATACAAAAAAGCCCTTTAGGTTTTGGATTGACATACGGATTCCACTTTAGGATTTTCCCAAATCTACTTTGCTGATTTTGGTTCAATTACAACTACGACACGCCATCGTGACGTTTTCCAGCAATTCGCACACATGCATGTGTGTGCTCGCATGCACGCCTGCACACGTTTTCTTCAGTTTATAGTATAAATTATAGTACTAGAGGAGGCGAAGCCTCCTCTAGTACTATAATTTATACGTTTAAACTAGAACTAAAAGGGCAGCGAAGCTTCCCTTTTAGTACTAGTTTGAACTACGTTAAGTGCGATGTGTGCACCCGTCCGCTCTAGAGACCGCAGGAACTACATGAACCAGAAGGTGCTTCTCCACGAGGTCTATCGGGAGATGTATCCCCATGACCGGAACCAGCGGCTGATGCACGATACTTGCTGGGGCAGCCTTGGGACTTTCATCAACGCCCTCAGACACTGGGGCTTTGTTCAGGAACAAACTGCATTTGTCATTTTAAAGACACATATGATGTCTTAAGAAACCCGTTTCTTGGTGACTTAGCTTACGCTCCGTAGCCAGCACCCAGGCAAGGCCGGAGAGTGCGAGGCCGTGCCTTGCGCCATGTTTTGGCACGAAAGTTTGGTTTGTGCTGGTCTCGAGGGCCTTTGGCGCCCTCGGCCCCGAAAAATCCAGGAAGGTTGCCGCCTCCTTTAAGGGTCCTTCAGGGGCCCCACCCCAAGCCCTAAGAGGCTCCTAAACCCTAAACCCTAAACCCTAAACCCTCAACCCTCAACTCTCAACCCTAAACCCTAAACCCTCAACCCTCAACCCTAAACCCTAAGCCCTAAACCCCTAAACCCTCACAAAGACCCCTCCCGCCACTAAGGTGAAGGGCCCCAAAGGCTGGGTCGTGCGCATCGACCAGGACATGGTCGTGGCCGCGGAGGCCGAGAAGGATGCGAAGATCTCGTCCTTCCTCCTGGCGCAGGACTTATGGGCTCAAAGCCCAACTTTTCAACTTTTGGGCTTCTTATATGGTAGTTTATGCTGAAAGTTTCAACTTCTATTCCTTGGGTTTTGGGCCAGTAAGAGGAAGGGTTTCGTGTTCGCTTTCAGGGTCCAGGAAGGGCTTTGGGGGCAGAGCTCCTGGGAAGAAGCTCCACTTCGGGTCGGGGTAGTTCAGGGTCTCGCTTATTTTGTTCGTTTGATCTGAGCTAGAGGGCTGTTGGGAGTAGCGCCACGAAACCAATGATTGCCCAGAGCGCTGAACCCCCCAAACTCCAAACCCTGAACCCTCCTTGCTTCACGAGCTGCCCTCTCTCCCTAACCCTTAAACCCGAAACCCCAAACCCTTCAACCCTTAAACCCTATATAAGCCCTTAAACCCTAAACCCTAAACCTTTAAACTCTTAAACCTCTTAAACCCTGATCCCCTAAACCCCAAGCCCTAGATCCTAAACGCTAAGCCCACCAACCTTTAAACCCTAAGCCCTCAGGACGATGTTGAACCCTGAACCCCTAAACCCTACACCCTAAACCCATAAACCCATAAACCCATAAAACCATAAACCCATAAACCCATAAACCCATAAACCCATAAACCCAAAAACCCAAAAACCCATAAACCCATAAACCCAAAAACCCAAAGACCCAAAACCCGCAGGACGATGTCGAAGCTCCACCTGTGCCGGAGTCTCGAACTGAGAGGATGCAGGCAAGCTGGGCTGCCAACCTGAAGCAGGCCGAGCCCCTTTCTTTGATCTGGGTTTAGGGTTTAGGGTTTAGGGTTCAGGCTTCAGGGTTTAGGGTTTAGGGTTTAGGGTTTAGGGATTAAGGGGTTTAGGGGTTGAGGGTTGATGGATTAAGGGATTCAGGGGTTGAGGGTTGAGGGTTTATTGAGCTGGTTTCGGGTTTTGGGGTGTAGGGTTCGGGGGTTAGGGTTGAGCGTTTGGGGGTTGGAGTTGTAGCAGAGGGCTTTTCAATTCTTGAGGGCCCCATGGAGGACCCTTCTTCTGGAACCCTAAGCGCCAAAGGAGTGTATGTATAGGTTATGTGCTTCGAACCTCTTGTGATTAAGGTCGGATTCTCATCTGTCGGGGAGGGTTAGCTTTCCTGTACATACTTCCCCCAATCCTTATACAACGATTAGCCCCTTAAATCAGAGTCAGAATCTACCAAAGGGCCCTTACCCTCAACCCTAATCCTTAAATCTTCAACTCTACACCCTTACACCCTCCACCCCTCACCCCAAGCCCCAGACAGAAACCCTAAACCCTAAACCCTAAACCCTAAACCCTAAACCCTAAGCCCTAAGCCCTAAACCCTACACCCTAAACCCTGAGCCCTAAACCCTAAACCCTAAACCCCTAAACCAGGCCTCCTCCACAAAGCGCCCCTGGGAAGACGACGGCGGTGCGCGTCGGGCCGCGGCCGCGGCCCGCGAAGCGAAGCGGCTCGCAGCCTCTGCCGGGACCGGCCCGGAACCCGACAGCGAGGAGGTCGAGACCCTGAGCGCCAACCGCAGCAAGGTGGGCTCAAGTATGCTCCGCTCCGCTGTGCTCTGCATTCATCTTCCTTTTTCTTCGACCTTATAGATATAATAGCAAACTTTTTACATGATAACATATATTTATACATATATATATATATATGTGTATATATATATATATATACATCTTACACACACACACACACACACACACACACAAAATGTTCTGAGACCGCCAGGTGGCCTTCCAGTTCGGAGCTGGCAAGAAGGCCGCGGGGGAGGCGGCGGCGCTGCCGGTGCCGGCGCCGCCGGCGGAGTCGCGCGGAGAGGTGGACCCGGCGGGCGACGCCGAAGATGTTGGAGAGATCAAGGCAGGGGTTTCCGAAAATAGGGGTGCCTTATTGGGTCCTCATGTAAACCCTCAGGTCATCGGAGACGTCCTTGAGGTGACCCAGGGAGACGTTTCTCCGCCAGCCTCGCCAGCCTGGCCGCCCGGGCTCGTGGTGAAGGTTCTCTGTCCCGCTGCGCTCGGGGGTAAGGCCTGCGGTGTGAAAGCTGTGACGCAGGAGACGGACGTCCGCAGTGGCGTTGCGGTGAAGTTGCTCAAGCCGATTGCAGGCCAGGAGGAGGTGACGACCGTGAAGCCCGACCTCCTCGAGACCGTGCTGCCGAAATTTGGCAGCAGGGTGCTGGTTCTCAGGCCCGGTGGCAATCAGGAGGGCACGTTGCAGTCCGTGGAGACAGAGACGTTTACCTGCACCTTAGGGGCTCTTGGGAATATTTTGAAACTTTTTGGATACTGAAATTCCTAAGAAACATGTAAAACCATAGTTTTTGCTAGGGTTCCAAGTTCAGTATAGGCACAGTTGTCCTAAATGATGGACGATCGCTCGCCGGGTTGCCCTACGATCGCGTCTGCAAGATCTGGACAGGCAACTAGTTTCACACGTGCACCTGTCATCGGACGCAACAGGCTTCATCGCACGGCTTTGGAGGTAACCCTAAACCCTAAACCCTAAACCCTAAACCCTAAACCCTAAACCCTAAACCCTAAACCCTAAACGGTGAACCTCATCCTCACAGAATCGAATCCCGAAGTCCTGAACCCGAAGCCCTCCACAGCCTTCACAACATGGACTTTCAAAAGAGGGACGCAGCTAAGATTGCCCTCTTTTTGCACAGCCACTTGGCTCTTCTCCTTTGGCCACGGGATCCCGGCCCTAAATCCATTGGGGAATACGCAGTTTGGGCGAAGCCCTAAACCCTAAACCCTAAACCCTAAACCCTAAAACCCTAAAACCCTAATTCCTAAACCCTCATCCCTGGGACTTTAAACCTGTTGAGTCGGTTTGAGGGTTCAGGGTTCAAGTCACGAAGTCACGAAGCTTCGACAGGGCTTCTGCATCCCAAAGCTCTCAACCCGAAGTCCAAGCTCTCCACTGTGGGGCGAGCGTTTAGGGTTTAGGGTTTAGGGTTTTGTACTTGCCTTCATCCCCTATGTAATCCTCATAAAGGCATTGGAAAAATACTCTGTTTTCCCTGTATAGTCCTTATACAGCCATAAATGATTGCCCTTAAACCCTGTATAAGCCTTATCAAGCCAGAAAAAACGCCAAATTACCCCAGCAAAGAGGGACTCAGCAAGCTTCGGCATGTCTTGGGCTGGGAAGCCGAGCCCATGCGCATGCGTCGCACTCAAGACGTCGAATAGAAAGGCCACCTCTCACGAGCCCAGGGGTTTTAGGGTTTAGGGTTTGGGTTTGGGGGTTTAGGGTTTGGGGTTTAGGGTTTAGTGGTTTAATTAGGGTGCACTTGGTACTGATAGGAATTCCTTGCCCTTGCGGATCTGCGCCATGATGGTGGCGTGTGCTTCGGTCTGCAACAGCGGCCCGGAGCCCTCTGCTCCGGAAGCCGGCCTTTCCTCATTGGATGTCTTGGTGCCGCAGCAACTTGGGCCGACAGCCAGTGGCCAAAGCGGTTTAGGGTTTACGTCGGGTTTAGGGTTTAGGGTTTAGGGTTTAGGGTAATGCTGGCAGGCAAGCTTGTCTAGGCCTTTGAACTACTAACACTCTTTTCATGGGCCACAACTGGCAGCAGTTCCGCAGAGTCCTAGGTAGGATAAGGAGGACCCTTAAAAGGGAACCCTTCTGAACCCTCTTCTGGCGCTCTTAAGCAGAGGGACCTTATTGAGAGGGTTTATATCCCCAAGGGTCCCCCTAATCCTATCCCCTACAAAGGTACCAGCATGCTCAAGAAGCCGATGGCGCCGACCTGCTCTCTGACGTCAGAGAGCTCTTCAAGGTTTTGGATGCTCGTCCAGCTAGCGCGAATTGGGAGCTTCAGGATGTTAACCCTAAACCCTAAACCCTAAACCCTAAACCCTAAACCCTAAGCCCTAAGCCCTTAGTCTCCAAGTCCTCTGGGGTCAATATGGCCACATAATGAGGCTTGGGGTTGAGGGGCTGGCCCCAAGGAACCTTGGGGAACCTACAACCGTAATAAGACTTATAAGTGTACTGACGCGACCTTAGGGTTTGCTTTCACGTTAGGTGGGGGCCTTATCTTACAGCCTTACTAATCATAATAGCAACAATAACGATATGAATAAACACAATAAAAATAATAAGAATATAAAAATAGAAATAATGATAAAAATAATAATCATAACAATAATGTTCACTTCGTGGTGCCAGGCCGGAGCTCTTTGAATCCCAAAGCCCTGGTGTCTGCTACTAGGAAGGCTTGCTTGAAGGCTCAAATCGGGCAAGCTCATGCTCCTACTTTCTACTTGGAAATCTTCAGCTGAAGCCCTAAGCAATGAAAACTCCACCCCCCCCCCCCCCCCCCCCCCCCCCCCAGCCCCTGACCCCAAACCCTAAACCCAAAACCCTAACCCCCCAAAAGAAAAACAAGCAGAAGCCCTAAACCCTGCAAGCCCTAAGCCCTGGCTTGCAAGGAGCGGCCACGAGAGCTGGTCCAGAACGCACAGTTTCAGCAGCAAGCCCTGCAGGCCTCCCACGCAAGCCCAGAAAGAGTTTTAGGTTTCTAGGGTTCGGGCTCCGAGATTTCGCCAATGGCTGGGTTTAGGGTTTAGGGTTTAGCGTTTAGGGTTTAGGCTTCAGTAAATTAGCCCATCAACCCGTTCGCAAGATGGATTTGGGTCGGGTTCATGGCCTGGAGGCAATTCTGGGGAAAAACTTATTGCGTCCAAAGGTTATGAAGTGGAACGGGCCTAGACCAGTCATAGGGGCAAAACGCCTGAGTTGACTGTAAGCGCTTGCGCGCGCTGCCTCGGCAGCCGACGTTTGTGCTCGAAGCTTCGCAAGGGGCGCTAGGGAGGGGGGGTCCTACGAGGTGTCAGGGGGTGTCACGGCAGAGGTTGCTGGGAGGTTTCAGGCGGGGAACTGGGGGAAGGGTGGTAGGGGGACTGCCTATGCACGCTTTTGCTTGAAGCTTCGTAAGGGGGTGCTAGGGAGCCGGGTTCTGGGGTTAGGCAGCGGTGTCCATGCAATTTCGCTGATGGGGGCTTTCAAGAGAAACGGTCCAATCACGCAATTTTTGGGCGCTGCTCTGTAGGAGCCGCCGACAGGTGGGAACCCCCACGACATCGGTCTGCGGCTCCTCCAAGCGATCCGGGGGGGGGGGGTTTCACAGGGTGGGCGAGGCGAATGTGTGAATATGATCGAATCAATGGGTTGATGGGTTAGACGACTACTGGATTGGCCTGCGCACTTGGAACAACACTGGGTCATTTTGTGCCGGCAGCCTGGCGCAGTCGTAGGGCCAACATGATCAAGTTAGCAGGTGCATGGGTTGATGAGTTAAGGGGGTATGGACCAATCACTGGGCTGCTGCGCTCACTCCTCAGCGCCCCTGCACCCCCTCAACCGTCCAACCTCTCACCTTCTTGGAGGCCGCCCTGCAGCATGCGGAGCAGTCGTTACTGCAATCGCGCATGGTTCTGACGCAGCTGGCGGGCAAGATGCAGAGGGCCCCAGCTGCCCTGGTGCCCTCGGCTCCATCAGCACCCATCGTGCGGGAGGCAGAGGCGCGCAAGGTTCAGAACCCTGAAAACCCTAAACTCTGAACCTGACCCCCTACAGTCTGCCCCAAGCCTGGGGATTCGGGCATTGGAGTTCGGCGGCGAGCAAGCGGTTTGGGTGCTTCGGGAGGATGTTGATCTCTTTGGGATCTCCGCGTGGTGCCCTCAAGCCCCAAGCCTGAAGAGATTTCGGGATCGGGCTTTAACTCATGTTCTAAGTGGAGATAAGACCAGAAAACACAATAGTGCAGGAATACAACAATGCGATAGTACAATAATACAAGAAGTACGAAAGACACTATTGCAGCAACACGACAATAATACAACAACACCATAACGCAGAATACAATAATTCAATTTGTACAATAATAACATAGGAAGATGAATTGTAAACAAATTATGAATCAATACATCAGTAAATAGATGCATAGATAAATAAGGCAAATACATGATTAAATACAGAAAGAGATAAATATAAAGAGATAAATATACACATAAATATACAAATATAAATATAAATATAGATATAAATAAAAATATAACTATAAATATAAATGTAAAATACAAATATAAATATAAATATTAAATAGATAAAATTATTACATAAATAAATAAATAAATGTATATATATATATGTGTGTGTGTGTGTGTGTGTGTGTGTGTGTGTGTGTGTGTGTGTGTGTGTGTGTGTGTGTGTGTGTGTGTGTGTGTGTGTGTGGTGTGTGTGTGTGTGTGTGTGTGTGTGTGTGTGTGTGTGTGTGTGTGTGTGTGTGTGTGTGTGTGTGTGTGTGTGTGTGTGTGTTTATATATATATATACAAACACGTACAATTCAATATCATAATGCAATAATGTTATGTTAAGCTACTGTATATACTCTCAAACATCACTATAATTTCATCATACTACGACAAATACAAAAACAATCAGACAAAAAAGGCATGGGACATAATGCAGTTCTGGTCTAGAAGAAGGTCGCGCATGGGGACTTGTGCCGAGGTTTCGAAACCCCAAACCTAAGGCGGAGCTTCTCCTGGCCCCGAAAGCCATGAGCCCCCTAAGCCTGGGACCCCAAAACCTCTAAACCCGATCCCCTGAACCCCTCAACCCGTACACGGCTTAAACTTCTTCACTTCCCACGCCCCTCAACGCCCGCCCTCAACTTCCACCCACAGTCCGGAGTAGAACAAGGCCCTCCAGATCCTGACGCAAAGCCCACGAAGGATCCTGAAAGCATGCACCCCTTGCAACGCGGTCAGAAGAGCCGTGCTGAAAGCCCTATCGAACCACCTGAAATCCTTACTTGACTCCCGAGTTAAATCCCCAGTCGGAACACGAACAAAATTTTCCGAAGAAACGTTCATATGCAAAGAAGCAGCACGGCCTGAATCACCCCGCAAAAAGTCGCCACCCGACAGCCCAAACCCTGAACCCTGAACCCTGCACCCTAAACCCGCCCCAAACCCCAAACCCCAAACCCTAAACCTAAACCCTAAACCCTAAGCCCAAAACCCTAAACCCTAAGCCCTAAATCCTAAACCCTAAACCCTAAACCCTAAACCCTAAACCCTAAACCCTAAACCCTAAACCCTACCCGCAAGAAGAGAAACGACAACATGGGAGAGGCGGCCCTCGAGCCGAAGCGAGGCGCAGCTGACACAGGCGAGCAGAAGGCGAAGGGGGGGACTTCTACTTCTGGCTAGTTCTGAAGGTAGGGGTAGGCTTAGGGTTTAGGGTTTAGGGTTTAGGGTTTAGGGTTCAGGGTTTAGGGTTTAGGGTTTAGGGTTTTGGGTTTAGTAGGGAATGAGGTACCCTATATAATCCCTTAAAGGGTACATAGTTAGGGCCCTCCGTTCTTGGCAGGGGACTTTCGGGTGCTAGGCCGAAGGGCTCCAGCTTCTTGGAAAAAGTCGTGTGGTTTAGGGTTTAGGGGGTTTAGGGGGCTTAGGGGGTTTAGGGGGTTTAGGGGGTTTAGGGGGTTTAGGGGGTTTCGGGGGTTTAGGGGGTTTAGGGGGTTTAGGGGGTTTAGGGGGTTTAGGGGGTTTAGGGTGTTTTAGGGTCCTGTTGGATCTCGAGGCTCTGGGTTTGAGCGGGTTTGGGGGTTTTGCGTTCAGGGCTTTCAGGACGCAGGCGGCTTTCTCGGCGTGGGCCCTGTGGGCTGCAACCCCCGAAGTTCCTAAGATGCTTGTCGGGGTTTAGGGTCTAGGGTTTGGGGTTTGGGGTTCAGGGTGTGCAAAGGCAGCCAGCGCCCGTGCATGTGCGCGAGGTTTCTCTTGCCACACCTGGAAGCCCCAAAGCCCGGAGCCCTATGTCCTCAACCCTCTAAGGCCCGAAAAGACGCCCGGGTGCCCTTAGGCCCCCAGGCCCCCAAAACCCCAAACCACCCTAAGCTGCAGGGGTTGGGTGCCTTCGCGTTTCAATTCTGCGCTGCCTCATAGGTAGCGTGGCATTCGACATTTTCCCCTCGTTAGACCCCAGTTTGCCCTGAAACCCTAAACCCTAAACCCTTAACCCTAAACCCTAAACCCAAACCCTAAATCCAAACCCGTCACCCTAAACACTAAAAGCCCTTGGCCCTTTTGGCCGCAGGCGCCTACACACACGGAAGCTCCTCCATCGCCTGCTCTTTCTCCAGCCCTGTGGCACCAGATATAGGGTTTAGGGTTTGGGGCCAAACCCTAAACGTCCCTAAACCCTAAACCCTAAACCCTGAAGGGTTTGGGGTTGAGGGGTTAGTGTGAGAGATATAAGGTTTAGGGCTTTCGTTCTTTGGGGGCACCCGGAAAGGGTGCCTGCGGCTTCAGAGCACAGGAGCCCCTGGAATCCTGACAGCATCCCGCAGACCTCATGCCAGGTTCCTCCTAAACCCTAAGCCCCCCTCCCCAGGTTCCTCCTAAACCCTAAGCCCCCTCTCCCGAAGCCCCAAAGCCCAAAACACCCAACACCGTCAGCAACACCCGAAACCCCACACAAGCTGAGACCTGCCACAAACGACCCCGTGTTCAAGCTAGCATGGCATCCGGCTCGCGGGCTGCTGGCTTTTTTTTGGGGATTGAGGTTCGAGTTCATGGTCAGCGGGATCATCTGGCTTCGATGTTTTGAGGAATCTTTTGTTGTGTGCTGTTGAGATTTCGGGGGTTTCCGAAATTAGGGGTACCTTATTGGGGTCCTTGTTACAAGGGAACCCTACGATTTGGGGGTCTTTTTTAGGGGTCCCTTGTTTTCGTAAACCCCCATCTCATGGTTGGCTCACGCACAAGGAGTTCACGCTGGCGCAGCATCAGCAGCGTCGGGCGAAAACTGCTCAGACCCTGCTGTCGCAGATGGGGGCGTCCGAGGAGATTCAGGGGGGCATGGCAGTGTGAGTAAGTGTTGGATTGGCCGCGAGGTCTAACCCTGAACCTTGCTTAAACCCTCGACTTTAAGCCCTGGCCCGCGATTGGATATGGGAATGCATGAAAGCGCGGATGGGCAGATGATGTAGGGTGAGATGCATGGTTGAATAGGGTACGGAGGAAGGTATGCATGCGAACGCTGCCGTGCTGTTGTTTCTTCAGCTATGTGCACATGGTGAACAGTGGCTGGACGGAAGAATGGACGCGTGTGCGCATGCCTGCATGGGTGAGGTGTGACACGCCGCGACTCCCCCATAGAATGAATGTAACACGATGACTGGCCATAGCCTGACATTTGCATGCCGAAGTGGTGCTGTGCTTGGACGTTCATGCTTTTGTGCGCGCGTTGCTATGCTACCTTTCACTCTAAGGGGCTTATAAGTGGGTAATAAGTGCAGTTATGATTGGGTTACTAAGTGCCCTGAACCTCCAAGTATGGTACAGCTGCACACCAGTGCCATGCATGCGTGCAGACCATCTCCCTCCCCCCTGCAAAGGAGCTGCCGATGCTTTCGAAGGGGTACTGGCCCTTTCTGCAGGTGGCGTGCCGGCGCGTCGTTCACAGCACGGCCTTCGAATTCTTGATCTTGGCCGTGATCATTGGCAACTCGGTGGTGATCGGAGTCGAGAGCCAGCTGGGCCTGAATGATGAGGAGCTCGCCTGGGGTGCTACGGCAGAGAACTTCTTCCTGGCGGTGTACAGCATCGAGATCCTGATGCGCCTGGTCGCCGGCAGGCTTCTGCTTCGGTTGGGGGAGACAGGGTTGTGCCAGGAGCCGCTCTGATTGAGAAACCCCTGAATTCTAAACCCTAAACCCTAAACCGTAAACCCTAGACCCTAAACCCTAGACCCTAAACTCTAAACCCTAAACCCTAAACCCTAAACCCTAAACCCTAAACCCTAAACCCTAAACCCTAAACCCTAAACCCTAAACCCTAAACCCTAAACCCTAAACCCTAAACCTAAACCCTAAACCCTTGGGAGGTTTCGCATCACTTGCGACGGCTGGTTCTTCTTCGATGTGCTCCTCGTGGTGAGCTCCTACTTGGAGCGGATCATCGAGCTGATTTCCGGCGAATCTGCCGAGCAGCTCATGCTTCTCCGGCTCCTGAGGCTGATCCGCCTCGTGCGAACCTTCCGCATGGTCCGGCAGGCTGTGCTAAGGGCTAAGGGTTTAGGATTTTGGGTTTCGGGTTTAGGGTTTACAGTTGTGGGGTATCGGTTTGGGGTGGTTTGGGTTGTGAGGGGAGCGGCAAGTAGTCAGAGCAGGATTGAGTAGGCTGTGCCGCTGACGCTCACCAGCTGAGTCATATCGGCAAGGCAGCGTTCCACGTCGTGTTCCAAAGCCCTAGCTCCCTAAACTCCCTAAATACCCTAGACCCTAAACTCCTAAAAGCCCTAAACTCCAAGTCTAAGCAACCCTTAGCCCCCAGTAGGTGCGGCCACTGTGGCGCCTCGTGCACGGACTCCTCACATCACTGGACACGGTGCTGTCCACCTTCCTGCTCTTGGCTCTGGTGGCTTTTAGTGCAGTTGGGGCTCGGTGTGGTGTTTACTTGGCTGGTTCTTAACAATGAGGGAATGAAATACCCTATGTAGGCCCTGAAAGGGTATATAGAAGTCCCTCATTCCCTCATATTCCCTGCTAAGAAGTAGGTAGTTGAGGTCTCATGGCGTCGGAAACTAGGGAGCCTGGAAGTTGAGGAAGTAAGTTTTCGGAGCGGTTTTGCAAGGTATGTCGGCCAGCGGCCCCAAACCCTGGGCCCCAAACGGTGACAGACCCCCGTGCGGCTCATGCCCTTGACGCCCCCATGATGCACCTCGTATCCGCATAAGCTTATCAGCTTGTGACCTAACAACCTCACAATGTCACACACTTGCAGCTTTTATCACCTCACGGCCTTCACAACCATATGAATATAGCTTCTTAGAGCCCTTACACCCCGGCCTGCCTTCGCTGCAGGTGCTCTACGTCTTTGGGGTCCTCGGCCTGGAAATCATCGCCACGAATAGTCACTTCAAGGACGACCCGGTGACCAGCGCGATCCTGCAGAGGAACTTCAGCCCCCGGGCCAGGGGTTTTTAGGGTTTTTTTAAGGGGTTTTTGGGATTCAGTGACTTAGGGAAGACCAGGCCTTAAAGCCTTTGCTACCTTTGGCTCGGGATGCCGGTTTCGGTCGGTTCAGGGGGTCGTGTGTGTCTTTACAATATCCAGGCCTTCTCTGTCTTGTGGCCTGCACTTGCACATTGCAGAATGATGGAGTGTGGGGATTTGGTCGCACAGTATTGCTTCATCGGTTTTGGAGTGATGTGCAGGTGTCTGCAGGAAGGGTGCGAGGGTACGATAGTAAAGTACTTTGGCACGAAAGCCCGGTCAATCTAAGGGTAGTTCTGGTCTATACCCCTAAACCCTAAACCCTAAACCCTAAACCCTAAACCCTAAACCCTAAACCCCTTATGCCCGAAACCCTATCCCCAAGTCGAGCTCGCTCTGAGGCTCCCTGGGCGTGGCCATGATCACCTTGGCGCAGTTTCTTTGTCATAGTTGGGTAACATTTTACCTTTTTCAGGGTACTTAAACCCAATAAGGAATATAAATTTAATAAGGAATGTAAATTTGAATTTTTAATGCTATCCCAACCATCAACCAGGTTTGTGACCATGGACTCCATCGCGGCCATCTACCTGCCCTTGGTGAGGAGAGCGGGCGGGGGGGGGGGGGGGGGGATTTTGGGGTTTAGGGTTTAGGGGTTAAGGTTTAGGGTTTAGGGTTTTTTGGGGTTTAGGGTGTAGGGTTTTTGCGGGTTTAGGGTTTGGGGTTTTCGGGTTTAGGGTTGAGGGTTTGTTGGTTCAAGGGCAGTGTGGCAGTTGCAATTGAGAGAAAGGAGCCAAGAGCGCAGGCAACCTCCCGGTCCGAAACCCCAAACCAAAACTGGGTTGAGGGTTTAGGGTTTAGGGTTCAGGGTTTAGGGTTGAGGGTTTAGGGTTTAGGATTTAGGGTTTAGGGTTGAGGGTTCAGGGTTTAGGGTTGAGGGTGGTTTCCGCAGACTTCAGCCGGCCAGCGCCCCATGGTTTGCCCCAATATTCAGGCTCGCATCATTCTTTTTTGGGGGGTTTCTTGTGTCGTAGCAGCTTGTATCCTCCAGCACGGGCTGCTCGCCCGTCTGCTCCGTGCGCCTTGAAGCTTGTCCGCCCACCTAAACCCCGAAACCCTAAATCCGAAACCCTAAACCCTAAACCCTAAACCCACCCTTCAGGCACCCTCTGGACAAAAGCCCAAGAAAGCCAAGCCATCGGAAAGCCTCTGCCCGGCCTGGGCTTGCACTATCTTGCACCCTAACACCGACATTATGTAGCTATCAGAACAGATGTAATATAAATATACATACATTAAACAAAGAAGTTAAAGAATCTGTAAATGTGTATGTGTAAGTAAATAAGTAAGTATGTATGTATGCATATATATATATATATATGAATACAGTTTTTATTCACCATAAGAAGTGTATTAGTTCTCCCAATTGCTCGTGAGCATTCTCCGGGCTCAAGATATAACCCTAAACCCTAAACCCTAAACCCTAAACCCTAAACCCTAAACCCTAAACCCTAAACCCTAAACCCTAAACCCTAAACCCTAAACCCTAAACCCTAAACCCTAAACCCTAGACCCTAGACCCTAGACCCTAAACCCTAAACCCCAAACCCCAAACCCTAAACCCTAAACCCTAAGCCCTCTCGCGACTTTCTCCCCAAGTTTTCGCCTGCAATTGGTTTGGGCTGTCCGAGCCACGGTCAATGGGGTGAGCTTTGGGGTATGCCTGGCTGTCTTTCTTAGGGGTTTAGGGTTTACAGTAGGGTTTTGGGTTTAGGGTTGAGGGGCCGTAGGAACATGCATACCATGTCTGCGTGGAAAGATAGAAGAGCCTGCTTGCCCCGGTTTCTGTTTTTGCGTGGAGATGGGAGTTAGGTTCCCCACCCCGAGTTTTCCACCGCTGAGGGGAGCGGTTCTATTTTTCAAGTGTTTATCTGTTCAACATGCGGTGTCTGAGATCTCTAAACGGTGAGGATCCAACCGTGGCTCATGCTCTACTTCACCATGCTGATCTTCATCGTCTCCATCTCCGTCATGAACTTGGATCCTTGGGGGCGTTTAAGGTTTTAGGTGACAACGCCTAGTGCGCGCCGGGCTTGTTCTCTTGCTTTCTGGGAAGGGTGGGGTGGGGGGGTGGGGGCGGGGTAAACCTAAACCTTGTCCAGCCCCCTTACAAAGCCACAGTAATAGTAGCAATAGCAAGAACTGTAACAATAGTAGTAATCGCAATAATGGTCATGATAATAATGAGAGTACTAGCAGTAATAGTAGTAAACATGTTATTCATCGCAAAAATAGGAATCTTCGTAATAATAGTAACAATAGTAATCATGGTAATAATGGTAAGAATGGTAATAATGGTAAGAAGAGGAGCAATAGTAGGAATAAGAATAATACTGGTAAAATCGGAGCTCTGCCGAAGCTGTGCAAAGCTGCCAACAAGTGCAGCTGAACGAAGTTTGCAAAGCGCGGCGCTCGAAACAGTGGATTTTCCCTAGGCGGGAGCGTCATTGTCCCTTAGAAATAGACACTGTTACACACTTTCGGCCCCTATGATGCATATGCGTTTTTCCCTAGGTTTTGGCACATTCCTGGTTCTTGCAATGCCACCAAACGCATGTCTCACACCAGGCGCTGTTACCTTTTAGGAACCAAATCATAACTGTACTTCTAACTTGCTTGGCGGACTTAAGGGGCCTAAAAGTGCAGCTACAGTTGGGGTTAAAAGTACCCATATTAACCTCCAACCTGTTTTTTGGGGTGTTGGGGGTTTTAAGGATCATAGATGTCGATCACATACGTCACTTCTCGAAAATAGGGTCCCCTTTCGGGGTCCTTCATCTAAGGCCCCCTATGACGCAGGGTACCCAAGAAAGAACCCTAATTTTGAGAAACCCTAAACCCCTAAACCCTAGACCCTAAACCCTAAACCCTAAACCCTAAACCCTAAACCCTAAACCCTAAACCCTAAGCCCTAAACCCTAAACCTTAAACCCTAAACCCTAAACCCTAAACCCTAAACCCTAAACCCTAAAACCTAAAACCTAAACCCTAAACCCTAAACCCTATACGTCCGAGGTCACCGCGGCCCTGGTGGAGGGCACGTTGGAGAATGCCCGCATGCTGCGACAGGAGGAGGAGCGCATGAGGAGCGTGACTTTGAGGGAATGAGGTACCCTATATCCCCCTAATGCCCTTTAAGGGATGATATAGGGGTACCCTACATCCCCCCAAAACACACCCTTTAAGGGATGATTATAGGGGTACCCTATGTCCCCACAGTAAGGTGAGCACTCAGCAGATGCTCCCTGAGATTCTGGAACTCTTCGATTTGGCTGATGCCGATGGGAGTGGCGAGCTGGCCATTGAAGAGATGCGCCAGTTTGAAGAAAGCGGCCACGTTCCGGAGCAGATTTTGGACCGGGCCTCCGTGAGCAGCATGACGGAGCTTTTTAACGTTTTAGCAGCTTGGACTGCAGACTTCTCCCCCCTGGTTCTTAGTAGGGAATGCTGGAATGAGGGCCCTACAGATACCCTTTAAGGGATTAAAAGGTTACCTCATTCCCTCACTCCCTGCTAAGCACCAGCCAGTTCTCGCGTGTTTTCTTGTCTTATGAGCCTTTCGCGTTTGGTGGCCCAACCCAGGATGTGGACCAGTCCGGCGTCGTGACGCGCGAGGAGTTCGCGGAAGGCTTGCTGGACATCTTCCTGCGGGATGTGTCCGTCTCGTCACTGCAGCAGATGAAGCTTCTGAGGGGCGTCCGCGACTCCCTGTCCCGGCTGGAGGCTGGCTGACCAAATTATTATTATTATTGTTGTTATTATTATTCTTATTCAGATTATTATTTCTTAAATAACTTTTACTATATATTATTACTATTATTCTCATCTTCTTCTTCTTCTTATCTTAGTATTAGGCTGGCTGACCCAAGTATCACTGTCCGGGTCGCTTGTTGAATTTCCTTCTCAACTCCCGGGTCTCCTAAACGTAACCCGCACTTCCAGATTGTAACGTAGAGAACTTCGTCGTGTACGAAAAGACCAAGAGAGACACATCGGCCAACAATCGTAAAAAAAGGACAGAACGGGGTCCTTCGGCCGCCTTTTTTCCTTCGTTTCCGCGCCCTTCATGAACTTCCTTCTGATCGCTGACTCACTTATGACAAGATACTGCTTACCAACACGAATACCCGGAACCCCCCGCAACACCCTAAACTTAAACCCTACGCCCTAAGCCCTAAACCCTAAACCCTAAACCCGAAACCCCAAGCCCTAAACCCCAAACCCTAAACCCTAAACCCTAGACCCCGAAACCCCTAAACCCTAAGCTTCACTCAAGACTCCAATCCCGAGGAGGATTTGGGCGGCCTCAAGCGACAGGCGGCCATCCTCTGAGCGTTCCTCTGAGTGGGGGTTTACGAAATCAGGGCCCCTAGTAACCCTAAACCTTACAAACCCTAAACCCTAAACCCTAAACCCTAAACCCTAAACCCTAAACCCTAAACCCTAAACCCTAAACCCTAAACCCTAAACCCTAAACCCTAAACCCTAAACCCTAAAACCTACACCCTAAACCCTAAACCCTAAACCCTAAACCCTAAACCCTAAACCCTAAACCCTAAACCCTAAACCCTAAACCCCTGAACCCCTGAACCCCTGAACCCCTAAACCCCAAGCCCTAACATCGTAAACCCCCAAGTCGGCCCCCGTTGTCTTTCTTTTGAGCCCGAGGGTCCAGAGCGATCTAAATGGGGTTTAGGGCTTAGGGTTTAGGGTTTAGGGTTTAGGGTTTAGGGTTTAGGGGTTTAGGGTTTAGGGTTTAGGGTTTAGGGTTTAGGGTTTAGGGTTTAGGGTTTAGGGTTTAGGGTTGAGAGGCCATGAGGATTTGGTTTGGTCCGCAGCGTTCGGAAATAGACAGGCACCAACAAGGCATAGGATTCGTTGTAAGGCCGCTTCACAGTGCTACCGCAGCCACCGGCAAGAGGGTTTGGGGATGTTTCGGGTTTAGGGTTTCGGTTTCTTTCTCAAAGCCAAAACCAAACCCTAAACCCTAGTCACAGCTGAGCACCTCTTCCGGCGCTGGACCCTCAGGGTGCGACAATGGACCCTAAACCCGACTCAAAATTTCAAGCCCTAAGCCCTAAACCCTAAATGCTAAACCCTAAACCCTAAATCGTAAACCATCAACCCAAAACCCTAAATCTGAAGCCTTAAACCCTCAAGCCTAACCCCAAAATGAAGCGCAGCTCTGCTAGATCAAGACACTAAGTCGGACCTGGCCGTTTACCCGTCGACCCTCCGAGAGTCGTGTGGAGAAGCCCATACACAACCCCTTCATCCCCAAGATGTTTCTTGTAGGACTTCCTAAACGGGTTTAGGGTTTAGGGTTTAGTGTTTAGGGTTTAGGCACATCTTCGGCCAGCATCTGGTGTTCCCAAACCCAATAGGTCCAGTTTCCAAGTGGGTTTAGAGTTCAGGGTGTAGGGTGTTAAACCCAATTAGGTCCAGTTTCCAAGTGGGTTTAGAGTTCAGGGTGTAGGGTGTCTGGACGCACCCCTTGAATCCCGCAAGCCCGCACATGTAGAGTTCTCCTAGTCTTGGTCCTTTCTGGGCTTCTTATTCTCCTTCGGAGCATTAAAAACAGGATGCCCGCAACCACACATCTAATCTAGGAGCCTAAACGACTTACCAAGATACCTCTTCTAACTGCCAAAATCCTACACCCCGCAGCCCCTAAGCCCCGAAGCCCCGGAGCCCCTAAGCCCCTAAGCCCCTAAGCCCCTAAGCCCCGAAGCCCCTAAGCCCCTAAGCCCCTAAGCCCCTCAACTAAACGCCTAAGCCCCCTTGAACGCGCTAGCTCTGGCCGAAGATCGGCCTCTTTTCACCCAGATCCGCGAGGAAGAATCCAGCTTCGTGGCAGACAAGACGCCTGGAAACCTTAAACCCTAAACCTTAAACCCTAAACCTTAAAACCTTAAACCCTAAACCCTAAACCCTAAACCCTAAACCTTAAACCCTAAACCTTAAAACCCTAAACCCTAAACCCTAAACAAACCCCCTCCCCTTCCAGGAAGCGTCGGCGCCGGACACACCGAATCCTAGGCTTAGGATTTCGGGCTTCAAGGGACAGGTTCAGGGGTCTAGAGGGCTGAATCCTGGGGCTTGGAGCGTTCTCTGTTTAGGGTTTAGGGTTTAGGGTTTAGGGTTTAGGGTTTGGGATTTCGGTGGGGTGGGAGGGTCTCTGCCCCCATGTGGAGTCAGAAGCAATAGCTTCTAGGGTTTGGGGTTGAGGGCCCACAGTCCCCAACCCAAACCCTCAGCCCTGAAGCACAAACGGGAAAGCCCGATGCCCCCCTGAATCCTTGCGCAAATTAAATCTGCCAGCCGCGCCTTGGACTCTGGCACTCGCCTTGGCTGCTCAAGCGTACTGCGTTGGTCCTCTGCCTCATTTGGTTAGGGGTTTTGAGGTGCTAAGTTGGGCTTAGGGTTGTAAGTGGATTAAGCATCGCAACCGTCGGCACTATCACACCTTAGGGGTTATATAGGGGTTCTTTAGGCACATAGGGCATAGGGACTATGTAAGGTATGTATGTATATATATATATATATAGGGGTAATTATAGGGGCATACGATTATGGGTCCCTTCTAGGGGTCCCTCCTTCTCCTCCTTAAATGATGGATTCGTGCGCGTCTGTCTGCGACAGTGGCGCTGCAGCTGAGGGCAAGAGTCGCTCCCCCCGCCCTTGCTTGCAACAGTGCCCCGGTTGCGTGTTCCCAGGATAGGTATCTAGGGAAGCTTGGGGAAGCTCAGGGGATTATTAGGGAACCTTGGGTTACATACGCCCCTTGAACCCCTCTTGAACCCGCAAGAACCTGATAAACAGGTACAGCCTGGTGGACAAATATGGCCCTGACCAGCTGTTTGATGTCAACGGTCTCACAAAGGCGCTGGACACTTGTCCGCAAGTACCTCGAGTTGGTTGCACAATGCCACAACCCGAATGATTTAAAGCAGCAACCCTGAACAAAAAACCCTAAGCCCAAAGCCCTAAATCCTAAACCCTAAACCCTCACCCCAAAACCCGAAACCCAAAACCCAAAACCCTAAACCCTAAACCCTAAACCTAAGCTGTAAGCTCCGAAGCAAGAGACAGAGGCGGCGGTGGTTCAGGCAGAGCAGTCACTGGTGCAGTCTCGGACGGTCTTGGCGGAAGCGGTGCAGCAGCTGCAGAGAGAAGCGCACACCTGGAAGCCAATGGAAGCAGATGAGGCAGGGGTTTACTTCGGGTTATAGAGCTCACTTTAGGGTTTAGGGTTTCGGGTTTCGGGTATAGGGTTTAGGGCTAGCCTCACAGAACCTCATGTATTCTAGAACCCTTGTGTCCTAGCGCGCTCATCCGGTGGTCTGCCGTGCCCCTAAACCCTCAACCCTAAACTTCAAAGTGCCCACCTCTCTACCTGAACACTGAAAGCCTCAAGTCCATGGTGCTTTCAGTAGGGTTTGGGGCTTGCATCTTGCCAAAATGGCCCTAAACCCTAAGCCCCCTAAACCCTAAACCCTAAACCCTGAACCCCGAACCCTAAACCCTAAACTCTAAACCCTAAACCCTAAACCCTAAACCCTAAACCCTAAACCCTAAACCCTAAACCCTAAACCCTAAACCTAAACCCTTGCCTAGGTCTCCGCGATGAAGCCTTCAACAGCAGAGTCGGGACCCGTTGTGACTTCTGTGGCTTCCAAGCAGTTCTCAAGGCAGTTCTCCGAACAGGCCGTGCCAAGGCTGAAGCCATGGGGTTTAGGGTTCAGGGTTCAGGGTTTAGGGTTTAGGGTTCAGGGTTTAGGGTTTTTGGCAGGGCATGAACCACCCTTTGAGCCCAAAACCCAAAGCCCTTACAGCCCCCGGTTCAAAGTGAAGTTTGGGGTTCAGGGCGTAGGGGATTAGAGTAAAGGGCCTGTGCCCGAGAAACCTCGAAGCCTTAAACCGCTTGCCTTAAATGCCTCAGGCCTGATCTCCGCCGGTACAAACCCCGAAGGTTTAGGGTTTAAGGTTGGGGCCTGAACCCCAAACCCCCAAACCCGAAGCCCTGAACCCTGAACCCTAAACCCTAAACCCTAAACCCTAAACCCTAAACCCTAAACCCTAAACCCTAAACCCTAAACCCTAAACCCTAAACCCTAAACCCTAAACGCGAAGGCATCGCCTTCCATGGCTCGGCTGCCCACGTGGGCAGCTGGGTTTCAAAAGCTCACGTTGTCGTGTTTAGGGGTTTAGGGTTTAGGGTTTAGGGTTTAGGTTTTGGGGCTCGTTTTCGGGTTTAGGGGTTTAGGGGTTTAGGGTTTGGGGTTTAGGGTTTAGGTTTTGCGGCTCGTTTTCGGGGGTTTAGGGGTTTAGGGGTTTCGGGTTTTGGGTTTAGGTTTTGGGGCTCGTTTTCGGGTCGGGTTTTGGGTATAGGTTTTGGGGCTCGATTTCGGGTTTAGGGGTTTAGGGGTTTAGGGTTTGGGGTTTAGGGTATAGGGTTTTGGGTTTAGGTTTTGGGGCTTTAAGGAACCCTAAGCCCCAAGGTTTCTGGGAGGATCCAAGTACATCCCCTTAAGGGTTGCCCTAAACCCTAAACCCCAAATCCACAAAGTAGATCCCCTTGAGGGTTCCCCTAAACCCGAACCCTAAACCCTAAACCCAAAAAATGACCCAGTGGTAGTACAAAGTACTATCTGGGGGGTGGTGGGTTCTACTTTTTGGATCCTTTCAGGGGCTTCCCGCCGTAAGCCCATAGCAAAGCCTCAGCCTTAAGCCCTAAACCCTTTAGGGTTTAGGTACCTCCGTGTGGACTTTTCTGACGATCTCCTAGTTGGCCCCCTCGGAATCCTTCTTTTGTAAGAGAAGGCCCGGAGAAAGAGAGCGTTTTCCGTATGGCCCATCCTATTGTGCCCATGTGTCTGTATGAATCCCTTCACAACCCATGTGTCTTGAGTTCAAGTGAGCTCCATCTCCCCCATCTCGACACTACCCCAACTCCACCACAGATGTGGCAAACCCTGCGCACCAATACCCGCGAAACCTGGCCTTAGGCTCGAAACCCTGTGAGGGTTTAAGGTTTTTTGAGTTTAGGGTTTACGGATAGCACCGAACCTTACAAGTCCTCTAAGCCCAAGACCGTATACACCCCATGGGCCCTTCTTGTGCAAGCTCTCTTCGCCCTACAAGCTCTCTAGACTCTGTGTAAACCCCAAAGCCCTTTTCATGCGTAGACTCCAAACCCCACGTTAAAGGACCCCAACGCCTGCCTGCTCTGTTGATACTTGTTCTGCTAGGGGTTTTGGGATTATGAAGCCCCTGAGAGGATTCTTAGGAAAGCCTTTGGTGCTCTTGAGAAAAATAGAGCGCAGCCCGCCACGACCCCAAGCCCCGAAATCCCAAATTCTTGACACCCGAAACCCTTGACCCACAAACCCTAAACCCTAAACCCTAAACCCTGAACCCTAAACTCCAAACCCTAAACCCCAAACCCCAAACCCCAAACCCTAAACCCCCAAAACCCTAAACCCCTAAACCCTACACCCGAAACCCCAAACCCTAAACCCCCAAACCCCAAACCCTAAACCCCAAACCCTAAACCCCCAAAACCCTAAACCCTAAACCCCAAAACCCAAAACCCTAAACCCTAAACCCCAAACCCCAAACCCGACCCTAAACCCCAAACCCTAAACCCCAAACCCCAAACCCTAAACCCCAAACCCTAAACCCTAAACCCTAAACCCCAAACCCTGAACCCCAAACCCTAAACCCTAAACCCCAAACCCTAAACCCTAAACCCCAAACCCTAAACCCTAAACCCCAAACCCCAAACCCCCAAAATGCGGCACAACTGCCAAGGAGCTCGAGGCCTCGACCTCTGGGAAGGCGCGGGTTGCGATATTTTTCTGGGGGTTCAGGGTTTAGGGTTTAGGGTTTAGGGTATAGGGTTTAGGGTTTAGGGGTTAGGGGTTTAGGGTTTAAGGTTTAGGGTTTAGGGTTTAGGGTGATCCCAATCCCTATAAACAACCACGGTTTTGCAGGGGGCTTCCTATAAGATTTGATAGGGGGAAGAGGAGAGGAAGAGGGGTTTGGGGGTTTGGGGGTTAGGGGTTTAGGAGTTTGGGGGTTTAGGGGTTTAGGAGGTTAGGGGCGTTGAGGTTTGGGGGGTTGCGGCTTGGGTTTTTTGGGTGCTTTTGGGCCTCAGCCGCTCACCTACCTCAATGCAAAAGTCGCCGACTCTGAGTTATGCCATTTGCTTTTGGTATGCCTTAGGGCTACGAAGCCAAGATCTCATGAGCCTGACATGATGGACTCATGGTTCTATTGTTTCCTTTCTGGACTTCCTTGACAGTCAAAAAGCCACTCCCGCAAATACCCCCCCCCCAACCCCCAAGCACTCAGCTCAAAACCCCTAAAGTGTATATAAGCCCAAGGCTCTGATCTCTTTTGGAAGAGTTCGCCCTAAACCCTAAACCCTGAACCCTAGACCCTAAACCCCAAACTCTAAACCCTAAACCCTAAAACCCTAACCCCTAAACCCGAAACCCTAAACCCTAAACCCTAAACCCTAAGCCCTCATGCGGAGGAGTTCGCCCTGCCCACGCGGTCCTCCCAGCTCCGGCGGATGAAGACGGGCCAGGCCCTGCTCTCGAACCTGGAGAAGGACCAACTCCCGGATGCCGTGGGTTTAGGGTTTGGGGTTTTAGGGTTTAGGGTTTAGGGTTTAGGGTTTAGGGTTTAGGGTTTAGGGTTTAGGGTTTAGGGGTACTGGGAAGTAAATTTTAATGTTTGGCTGTATAATTCCTAAGAAACAGCAAAGAAGATTGATTTTTGCTAGGGGTCCAAGTTCAGTGTAGGTAGGGGGTGGGTTGGGGTTTATGTTTAGGGTTTGGGGTTTGGGGGTTTAGGGTTAGGGTTTGGGTTTGGGGTTTAGGGGTTTAGGGTGTAGGGTTTTGGGGTTTAGGGTTTTTGGTTGAGGGTTTAGGGTTTTGGAATTGGGGTCTAGGGTTTAGGGTTTGGGGTCGGGGTTTGGGGTTTGGGTTTAGGGGTTTGGAGTTTATAGGGATTTGGGGTTTGGGGTGTAGGGTTTGGGGTCTGGGGTTTGGGGTTAGGGGTTTGGGGGTTTAGGGGTTTGGAGTTTCGGGATTTGGGGTTTAGGGGTTTGGGGTTCGTGTAGGGTTTGGGGTTTGGGGTTGGGGTTTGGGGTTGAGGGTTTAGGATTTGGGGTTTAGGGTCGCGCAAGATAGGCCAGAAAATTCTGACACGGTGTGCCTTTCGAGATTCCAGACCAGGGTTCCCCTTCTTGGCAATGCAGCAGAAGCAGGCCAGAAAGCCCTCAATCCGAAACCCTCATGCCCCCCAACCTTAGACCCTGAACCTGAAGCCCTAAACCCCAAACCCCAAACCTGAGACCCTAAACCCTAAACCCTAAACCCTAAACCCCAAACCCCAAACCCCAAACCCCAAACCCCAAACCCTAAACCCTAAACCGTAAACCCTAAACCCTAAACCCCAAACCCCAAACCCTAAACCCTAAACCCTAAACTCTCGAAACTCGGAGGAGATCCCGCCCATCTCGGCGGGCCTGAGGCCATTCCTGCAGGCGCGGCGCGGGGCGCGTCCAAGCCCACGGCGTGCTTTTGCGGCTTAGGGCTCGGAAGCCTGAACTAGGGTTTAGGGTTTAGGGTTCAGGGTTTAGGGTTCAGGGTTCAGGGTTCAGGGTTCAGGGTTCAGGGTTCAGGGTTTAGGCTAAACCCTAAACCCCAAGCCCTGTATCCTGAACGCAAGAAAAAAAACAACCCTAGACCCTAAACTCTAAACCGAAGCCCGGAGCCCGAAGCCCCGGAAGTCTGAAGTGTTTGAGGCCATCCTCAAGACCTGAGATCTCCAGCGCTGAACATTACAAGTTAATTGGTTAGGGTTTAGGGTTTAGGGTTTAGGGTTTAGGGTTTAGGGTTTAGGGTTTAGGGTTTAGGGTTTAGGGTTTAGGGCTTAGGGCTTAGGGTTTAGGGTTTAGGGCTTCTTGGAGGTTCATGGTGCTTACTAGCCCGACTGGAACTGCACTGAAAACCGCATCGTAACCATGTTGGGGGTACCTAAGGGGCTTTATCAGTGGGTTATCACTCCACTGCTAGTCGGGTGATAGCTTCCCTGAAGTACCCAACACTGAAACGTGGAGCCCTGAGCCCACGCACCCGAAACCCTAAACCCTAAATCCTAAACCCCAAACCCTCAACCCTAAACCCTAAACCCCTAAACCTCTAAACCCCTAAACCCCGAAGACCCCTAAGACCCTAAAACCCTAAACCCCTAAACCCCTAAACCCCTAAACCCCAAACCCCTCAACCAACTAGTGGGCCAGGCGGTGTGCCGCCGCGCCATCGGCTCCATCGCTTTTGAGTTCGTCATCCTCGGGGTGGGGCGCTGAACTCTCACCCTTCATCCCCCAGATTGGGCCTTTTGTGGGGTGTTTGGGGAGGGGGGGCCCTAAACCCTAAACCCTAAACCCTAAACCCTAAACCCTGAACCCTGAACCCTGAACCCTGAACCCTGAACCCTGAACCCTGAACCCTGAACCCTAAGCCCTAAACCCTAAACCCTAAATCCCTGAACCCTAAACCTTCTGAGGGTTGGGTGCTTAGGGTTGAGGGTTTAGAGACTTGAGGTTAAGTGAATCAAGAGCCCCCAACACCCTAAGGCCCAAACAGGGGTTTGGGGTTTAGGGTTTAGGGTTTAGGGTTTACGGTTTAGGGTTTAGAAGGCCCAAACAGGGGTATGTTGAGCCTCAGTGCCCTTGTGCCACAAAGGCTCCGAGCACATCGACCTCCCCCATAAGCCTGTTAAGGCGCTTGAAGGCCCAGAAGCCCCTTAAGGCCAACAAGCCCCTCAGGCCCTGAAGGCCCTAAAGCCTTAAAGGCCTTCAGCTCCACTTTCGCAGAAGTCTCGACCCTGAACCCTAAACCCTAAACCCTAAACCCTAAACCCTAAACCCCAAACCCCAAACCCTAAACCCCAAACCCTAAACCCTAAACCCTTTCAGGTGATCATCCTCAACTCGGTCCTGATCGGCGTTGAGAGCCAGCTGTCCCTGAACGGGGAGGCGCCTTGGGCCGCCCTCAGTCATAAGGAATCAAGGCGAAACCCTAAACCCTAAACCCTAAACCCTAAACCCTAAATCCTAAACCCTAAACCCTAAACCCTAAACCCTAAAACCTAAAAAATCCTTGGGGGGGGGGGGGGGGGGCTGCTTTCCTGCCATCTTGCTAGCCTCACAGCCCTGGAGCAAAGGGCATTGAGGCAATCCTCACAGGTAGTTTGTGGACTTAACCCGAGACCCTACCCCCCCTAAACCCTAAACCCTGAACCCTGAACCTTACAACTATGCCCGAATCTGGCCGCACGCGAAACTTCACTTCAACCCGACCCCTGACGCGGGGCTTAGTCAGATGTAAAGTTTTAGGGTTTGGGGTTAGTTTCATTTTTTATTTTTTTTTTTGGGGGGGGGGGGGGGGTGGGTGGTCGGGGGTGTTTAATGATTATTGGGTTCAGCTGCTTTGGGGTTGACAAGTTGGACAGTTGGACACCGGGGGGGGGGGGGTGTAGGGTTTAAGGGTTGAGGAACCGGACCCTGATGAGGACACTGAGCACCTCCCTTCATTCTGGAGCTTCGGAGAGGGTTTAGGGTTTAGGGTTTAGGGTTTAGGGTTTAGGGTTTGGGGTTTGGGGTTTTGGGGTTTAGGGTTTGGGGTTTAGGTTTCAGGGGTCCTCAGCACTCGACAGCTGGATGTTTTGGGGGGTTCAGGGGGCCCTAGGAGTTGGTTTCTTCGAGGTTTTGGTTTAGCACTCATGGTTTAGGGTTTCGGGTTTAGGGGTTTCGGGGTTTAGGGTTTAGGGTTTCGGGTGTTGAGAGCATTTTTCCCGGGCGCGCGAGCCCTTCTCCACCCCCCCCCCTTGCTAGGTCTTGGATTGGGCTCCGGTGGCGGAGAACTTCTTCCTGGCTGTGTACAGCATCCAGCCTTTTCTTTGAGGGTTCGGGTTTAGGGTTTAGGGTTCAGGGTTTAGGGTTTAGGGATTAGGGGTTAGAGCTTAGGGTTTAGGGTTTAGGGCTTAGGGTTTAGGGCTTAGGGTTTCGAGACTTGCCCGAGAGCTTGCCGAGGTATCGAGATTCTCGCGCGCCTGGCCGCGAGGAGGTGCTGCTTCCCAGTTCCCGCCAACGCCCCCCCCAGCAATAAAGCGACCGACTGCCCTAAGGGTCCATATATCGTAGATAGTTGGGCCTTCAAGGGGGTTCCCATATAGTAGCTTTAGGCCATGTGCCCATGGAGGTAGATAGTTGGGCCTTAAAGGGGGTTCCCATATAGTAGCCCAAGTATATACTACCTGGGTACATGGGCCCCGAGGGCTGGCTGCACGGGACGCGTCTTTGCGCAAACCCTAAACCCTAAACCCTAAACCCTAACTAAACCCTAAACCCTAAACCCTAAACCCTAAACCCTAAACCCCATCCTTCCGAGCACCTCTCAGGCCCGGGACAGGCTTCGACGGATGGTTTGCGTTCGACGTCCTCCTCGTGGTGAGCTCGTACCTCGTTCTTGGAATTTCATATACCTTTTGGGGGGTTGGGGTTCAAGGGGGTTAAGAAGGGTGCAGGCGTTTCGGGTTCGACCGGTGTTTGGAGAGGGGCCGAATGCTTCCAGGTACCTGGAGCGCGTAATTGAGCTGATCTCCGGCGAATCTGCCGAGCAGCTCATGCTTCTCCGGCTCTTGCGCCTGTTCCGCCTCGTGCGCACCTTCCGCATGGTGCGGCAGGCGATTCCCACCTTCATAGGTTCTTGGTTGCTGGGTCCTAGTCCCTAAACCCTCCTAGGTGCCTTGGAGCCTTTCAAGGGAAAACCCCTCACCTGATCACCCCCTCCGCCCCCCCGCCCTCCCTCCTTGCCCACCATGGCTCCTGAATGGGCCTTAGGAGGAGGGATCCCGGGCTGGGAAGGGAAGGGGGGGGTCAAGCCTGGACCCGATGTTTCTTCTCCAAAAGCAGGCCCCTATCTTGTAGACCGGATGTATACACAGTTGTATAGATATATGCTCAGGCCACCCCCCCCGCCCCATGATCCACGTTTCTGCTTGGCAACAGATGGATCTTGGGAGGAGAGGGGGCTATGAGCTAGCGATAAAAACGCCGACAGGGCCGATAAAAACCTATATCATTTCAAGTCAGGAAGGTCATTTACATCAACTAGGTAGAACAACACCCGGAAAATCATATGTGTTAGAAAACTCGAGCCGGCTCGAATTTTCGAAGATTCGAGCCGGCTCGAGTTTTCCCTAAATCTCTTGAAATTCTGGCTGCGGTAATTAATACAATTAGTAGCATTAGATACTAGTTCTATTTCAAGTGTTGGGTTTCCCATAATTTTTTAACGGCAATTCTCTAAATTGTGAGAAGAGGTCACGCAATAGTTTAAATCCAACAACCGTTTTATTCTTAAACCCTTGACAATTCATGTAGGAACTACCTTTGTCACTTAAAGTATCAACGAGGATATCTTCGGGACTAAACGTTTCCATTATATATAAATAGCATCGATATTTTAATTACATATACATACCTTCAACTTATATTTACTCAAATATTTTCAACTATATGAGTTTTCTTTACTATGGTTCTTCTTCTTACCTTTCACCTCCTTAACTGCTTCATCTACTTCATTATTCTCAACTAACTTTCTTATCTCTTCGTAAGCATTTTGTTTAAGTTGCTTCTCTTTCTTCGGTTTCTCTATTTTTTCGTGTGTTGTTGCTTTCTTATGAAACATTATTAATATTATTTCGATTATTGCATCAAACTGTTGCTAAAACTCTTGTTCGGTTACAGGGAGATTACCTGCTTTGCTTTAAAACTTGCCTATATCTTCATAAGAACGATTTTGTAGAGGTTCTAATGTTGATTTATTTAATGTTATACTTCTTTATCAAACATACTAACGGGGTCTCCTGCTTTTCGTATTCTTAAATTTGTCCCAGTGTCCTCTGGTCGTTGTCCTGATACTGAAGGAGAACCATAACTACGACTTCTGAATCCATTACCATAATCATTGTTTATTTGTTGTCCCGATGCTGAACCTAAACTATGACTTGTAATATCAGAAATTCCAGTATTTTTTAACCGTCTATTTCAATAAAACCATCTTGAATGAACTTATCTACATCTTTATAGCGCTGAGTCTGTTGCGTCTTATATAAAGGAAGTTCTGAATCATCATAAACATCTCTACCGCTTTTAGTCCCAGCAACGTATAAAATGGATCCATTTTGATATTTCCCGTCAGGATTCTCAGTCTCTGTCTCTGCTAATTCGTCTCTAACTTCATCATGTAGTCTGCTTCTTGTGCTAGGTGTTTATATAAATCCCCTTCATTTCTTCTTTTTATGCATTATAAAATGGTATATAAAACTATTTTTAATCTCTCAATGGATATTGTTGAAGTTCAAGAAGGTGTATACTGAACGCGATTATAGAGTGAATAGCAGAGACTAGCAAACCACACAAAACCAAATCCAGAAACGGATTCTGTTTGTAGATTTTCTGTTGTTTAAAAGTATAGATAGCGATTAGCAAGTTGTAGCTTCAGACATGGCAAGACACGAAAGTATCGTAAATAACCGTGTTTTTGACTTCAACCATGTGTGTAAGTAAGCACAGGTGCAGAAGGGCAAGCAAGAAAAGGACACATGATTCATGGGGGGGGGGGGGTGTGACCAGATATACATACACATCCTTATCTTTCGCATATGCACGTACGCTCTCAAACCCCAAGCCCCCCCCCCCCCCCCCCCCCCCCTTCCCAGATGGTCAGGTTCGGCCCTTGTTTCGCCTCGTGCACGGGCTGATGACGTCCCTGGACACGGTTCTCTCCACGTTCCTGCTTCTGGCGCTGGCGCCTCGTGGGCATGGGAGTGGCGTTCGCGAGCTTATTGTTTTGCAGGGTGAGTTTGGGGCCATTGAGAAGCCTCAAACCCTAAACCTCATAATGTTGACTTCGCATTAATAAATCCCCCCCCCCCCCTTCATTGATCAATCTCTCCGGCCAGGGCCTCCTCAATAATATCCGCCTAAATCCTGGTAGGTCTAGCTGTCCCGGTGCCACCACAGTGGGCTAAGTGAGCCTCTACTGCGAGCTTCTGGGGGATCACTTTTAGAAGAATATTCCGGGCTGGATTTTATAATTGTGGCGGGCTACATTATTGTGTTCTGGCAGCTGGATTTTATAATTGCGGCGGGAATTCCTAATGTGAAGTCAACATTAGGCCCTAAGCCCTAAACCCTAACATTGTAGACAAGCTCTAAGCCCTAAACCCTAACATTGTAGACCCTAGGCCCAAAGCCCAAAACCCTCTGAGGCCCCGAACGACTCCTCACTCCAGCTCTGCAGGTGCTCTACGTCTTTGGGGTGCTGGGTTTGGAGCTCATCGCCACGAACCCGCACTTCCAGAACGACCCGGTGACCAACGCGATTCTTGAGAGGAATTTCAGCGCCCGGGCTTCTTCTGGGGGCTAGGGTTCTCGTTTTTGGCACCCCCCAGGCCCCAAAACCTCAAGCCCTAGACCCTGCAAAAGCCCTTATCAACCCTAAAAATCCGGAAAGAGCCCGAAGAATCCTCAATGAGCCCTGAGCCCTACTCAGCCCATATCCCAAGAACCCCAACAATCTATACTGCGCCCGAATATGCACCCAGTACTCAACCCTAAACCTAAACCCTCAAAGCCCTAAAGGCCCTCAAGGCCCGAAAGGCCCTAAGCCTTGCAAACATCCAGAAGTCTAAGCCCCAAACCCCAAACCCCAAACCGCAAACCGCAAACCGCAAACCGCAAACCCTAAACCCCAAACCCTTAAACCCCAAACCGCAAACCCCAAACCCCAAAACCCCAAACCCCAAACCCCAAACCCTAAACCCTAAACCCTAAACCCTAAACCCTAAACCCTAAACCCTAAACCCTAAACCCTAAACCCTAAACCCCTAAAGCCAAACCCTAAACCCTAAACCCTAAACCCTGAACCCCAAACCCTAAACCCTAAACCCCAAACCCCAAACCCTAAACTCCAAAGCGGCTCCAGGCTCCCTGGGCTACACGATGATCACCTTGGCGCAGTTTGTGACCATGGACTCCATCGCGGCCATCTACCTGCCCTTGGTGAGGTCGGGGAGGGGGGAGGGGGTTAGGGTTTAGGGTTTAGGGTTTAGGGTTTGGGGTTTAGGGTTTAGGGTTTAGGGTTTAGGGTTTGGGGTTTACGGTTTCGGGCTTGGGGTCGAAGTGGGTTTCCGCACACATGTTGCGGGCATCCAGCTGTCTTTCCAGAAAAGTTTCGGGGCTTGGTTCGGGGAGATGGGTGGCAATTCTCTGTAGTCCCGGGATGGTGGCTCGCATACTCTTACCCCAAACCCCAAACCTAAACCCTAAACCCGTAGACCCTAGACTCTAAACCCTAAACCCATTCACGTGTCCTTGTCACCCGTCCCCGATTAGAGAGCCTCGGGAGGAGAGGCAGCAAGTACATGACCGCATCTGCGAAACAATGTTTTAGGGTTTAGGGTTTAGGGCTTGGGGGTTCTCAACTTGTCAACTCCCCCCTTCTTCTCGGCTCGGCTCGATCATGATATTGAGGTGGCTGAGTTCCAGCTCTGGCCAAAGCTCAAGCATCTGTCTAGACCGGAGTCACGAATTGCCCCGGATGGCCTAGGCCGGCTTCAAGATTTTAGTCTTCTTCGCCGGTTTTTTGTCTACCGTGGTTTCAAGTCGGTTTAAAGCAGACCGTTTATCGTGCCTCCTACCTTCGGTCCGGGCTTCAGGGCGACGGCCCTCCGGCAGTTTTGTGCTCTCTCCCCCTCCAAGAGTTTCCGACTCTGGGTCGGGGGGTTGGGGTTTTGCTTGGTTGGTGCTGGTGAGTCTGATCTTCTGCTTGGAGCTTTTGGATGGGAGTTTTTGTCGTGTCACAACCAACAGGGCTGCGGACGGTAGTCAGATCGTCAGGCCTGCCCTTTGCTTGCGCCAAAGCGAGAGAGAGAGAGAGAGAGAGAGAGAGAGAGAGAGAGAGAGAGCAGGAGAGAGAGACAGAGAGAGAGAGAGCAGGAGAGAGAGAGCAGGAGAGAGGGAGCAGGAGAGAGAGAGAAGGAGAGAGAGAAGG